TGGACTTGCCTATTAATTAACTCATTAAGCAAAATCTGTCCTTAGCATGAGTTCTGAGCAACCCGTTACACCACGGTACCTAAGGCTCTTCTTATAAGGAAAAATATCTTACGTATGCTGGGTTTTGTCTTGTAAGTATATTAAAAGATACAATTTTAGGGAAAAAAGATGAGAATATTTTTATAGAACACTTTTTTTTGGGGGGAGGTGGTCAGGTTTTTGAATACAGCTTAATTTTGTCTACTTTTTAGCAATCCAAGAAGGCCATTTCTGGAAAATGATTAGTCCAATGAAGGCATCATAAGCCCTTCTTCCTGTGTGGTGGTCTCATGTCTCTCACAGGGCACTGTTCAGGGACGATATGAGACTTCATTTTGGTGCTGAGAGTTAAGGGCCAATTTGGCATTCATACCTTCTCATGCTGCGTTTTAACCTGTGATGGAATTTACATTTCCAGTAATGATAAGTTTTCAAAATTTAATGTAAATATGTATGGTGGACCCCCTTACAAGATGGATTACCATGCAGAGTTAGGTGTACCATTTCATGGGTGGTGTGCATGTTTTCTAATCACAGATCATTCGAGTTGGAAGTCACCCTCTCATTTGACAAGCGAGAAAATGGGTCTCAGGGAGATACTGTGACTGGCTCAAGGCCCTCGTCAGTGCGGACAGGCTAAGAGAACAGAGATGAGTGAAGTGAATTCTTCTCCCCACTGCCATAGTTTTCCACCTGTCAGGATGCCTGCAATGTGGAGTGACGTGCAAAACTGGTTCCTGGAAGGTCGTCATAGTAGTCTGTGATGCAGGGGCCGAATACAGAATCACCACTCAGGTCTGGGTTTGCTGTTCTTTGCCCGTGGCCTATGTCAAGGATTCAGGTTTTCTGATCTCCACTTCCGCTGCCTTTCTCACAATTTCACGCCAGTTAAGACTTAGTTTTAATCTTTCTCGTGTGTAAGTAGAAAAGACTTTACAAGCAATTCCTCTTGGTCGCGAACTGAATAGGAGGGGCCAGTACCAGTAACACGTTGTGGTCAGGATGTAAGCAGGGAGCACTCAAGCAATAGGAATGGGAGCAGATCCAAGCAGGCCAGAATCAAAATGAAAAGTAAACCCCATTTTACAAGGTTAGTTTTGTGCATCTTTTTTACTCAAGTTTAATGATATCATGGCTATAAGACTAGAAAAGGTATAATGGACTAGAAAATAATCTGTACCCTGGGGGAATTTAAAAGGACATACTTTTTCCTTTTCAAACCTCTATCTGCAAGACTGATTTATAGTCTTACACGTATAAGACTTTTTGAGTAATGCAGTATATTGAAAATAACCCAGCACAGTAGCTGGGTTCAAATGCTAGCTCCATCGTTTTCTGACAGCGAGCCCTAATTTTCGTGTTTGTGAACTAAGGCGGCGTCTCTCGTGCAGCGGCTGCCTGTTGGAATCATCTGGAAGGTGTTATGAAGCCTGCCCAAAGCCAACAGAATACTCCAGACTCCACCCCCAGAAACCGTGATTTTAATCAGTCTGTGTTTGATTGGGATTGTTTTTAAAGCTCCCAGGCGATTCTGATGGACAGTAACCACCAGACCAGGTGACTCTGAAGTCCCTTTCACGTTCTAATGTTCTGCAGTTTGAAATTTTTAAGTGTCATCTACCCAATCCACAGATAATCAACCCTCCTTATTTGAAGGGTGGCATCTTGTTTTTATGTTAACATTCATGTTGAAAGGATGCTTATTATAGCATCAAAAATCGCAGATTCTTAACAAGTTTTTCCTGATAAGCAGTCAAATTTGCTTTTGGAAAAACAAATAATAAATCTAATTCTTTATTTGATGATCTTTCTGATATTTGAAGATGATTTTTATGATTCACATATTTAGCTTTTAAGGCCGAATACTCTCCATTTTTTATCTCTCGTTCACGCGATATTACCATGTCCCGACAGCCTGCTTGTCCTAGCTGCAGAGCCGGGTTACTCTGTGAAGCGTCTTCCTAGAGTTGAACCTAATCATCCCTTGATCAGAGGAGGGAGCCCAGGGGGTGTGGTGATCGTCTTCCTCGGAGACTCTTGCCTGAGCATAGGGTTAAGCAAAGTTCCTGGCTTTAGTAAGTAGTTCATTATCAACAACGCTCACCAGTCTACAGGTACAGCCTGTATCATCTACTACAAAGTAGATGATGGAATTCCTGGTATTTTTGAAGTCTTGCATGTATGTACTAGGCATGGTTTTAGTATTTAAATACAACCATACTTGAACAATAAAATAATTAAAACAAAGAAATATATTATACATTTGGTTCTTGCAATAACCCTATGAGTAAGGTGCCATTATCATCTTCATTTTATGGGTTGAAAGAAGAAATAAGTCTAGGAGTATGGAAGGTAAGTAGCTTGCCTCTGATTTTTTAGTAGGTGGCAGAGCTAGAATGTGAATAAATCAGGCATCTTACTGCAGAACCCGTAACCCTTTCCACCTTTCAGTAGAGGTCTCCTCATCTGTAATATAAGAACATTGGTTTCTTAGGACCTTTCCACCTTCAAGTTCTTAAGTTTCTACATGAGTTTAATAGTAGTGTGTTTGTACCAATCAGTTTTCTTAGTATATTCAAATAAAACACTCTCCAGCCACTTAGGTCTACCTAAAGTAACAAAGCCAAGAGTTCTCATTTATTTTGTTCTAAATCACTGACATCATTGCCTGAATTTGCACAACAGACCATTCTGTTTACTTTATAGAACTACTACATACATGTGTACATGCATACATACATAACATAAAGAAATTTAGATTCTGTCCATTCATCTAGCACCTGCAAGTATGGAGAGAGCCTGTTCCGAACCTTACATATTCCATAGAATTCTCCAGCTCTAGAGTTTCAGGTATTGTGACTCGTGAATTCAGTTACCCTTAGTTTGTAAGGGCAGAAGATGTGGGTTGAAGAAATTAGATGGCGAGTATAAGGTTGATACGCACATCTAATTAGGTAAACTAGATTATAGGAGATGTGCCCAAATTTGTTATAATTACATGCTGTTTTTAAGAAACTTCAAGTATTTCAGAAGCTACTTTCCATAAAAACAATTTATATGCTAATTATGTTATTTTTATTTTTAAAGGAGATTTGTAATGAATTCTGCTAGGCAATCTTTGTTTCAACTTTTCCAAATAAATTTCCTAAAACATAATTTTATTATCCAGAAGAGTGTTTCTTCAGTTGATTCCAATAGAAACTTTCTGACTCTATCATTGAAACATCATTTAAAGTACCCTTGTTGAATCCAGTAATCCTTTGTGTTTTCACAGTTTCACCAGCCTGAGAAATTTGTATGGATTCTAACTCTTTATGAATATTATTTCTTAGTCCTTGTCTGATTCATTCTGAAAGCTCATTCTTTCTGTGTAAGGCATATACATTTGAGTTTTGCCAATAAAAAACATGCTGTGGGGAATAGAAACATTTCAGAAAAAAATTGACCTTGTAGAAGCCGTTCTTTCCATCTGATTGCTGTATATTGGCTTCAAGTATGTTTGTATGATTGATAACAATATAAAATATAAAGGCTGTAAATACATATTTCTGCTCACTAGGAATCTTAGCCTAGAGGCTACTGGGTCTGCTTCTGTTCAGTTTTGCAGACCATGTGCCAACTCAGTATATTTTTCTGAATTAGTCTTGTGAGCATCTCAGCCATCAGTTGTGATTGCGTATGCTAAGGCTTGGGTGTCCTTGCGTATATGTGCCAGTATTACCCTCTAGATCATTGGTGTCAGGAGCATAAAGAAAAGCATACTCTTTTATCTATAGATCTGATTTTCTCTTGAACAGCAAAGGTTTCCCTTTAACAGCAGAATTTTAAGTGTTTATCTTGCAAGAGGACTATTGCTTTTAGAGCACAGAAAGGCTTTGTTAAGGGCGCTGCTGTTCTTGGGAAGCTTTTGATTTTAGCTGTAGAGAGAGTGATTTAACACCTATGAAGCGCAGGATGGGAAACTGAGATCCCCTTTTCCTTTTGTTGACTTTCCTGTCACAGTCATAGACTCCTAGACAGATGGGGTAGAGGGAGCGTGAAGCTGATCTAACCCACTCACCTCGTTTTATAGGTGACACTGCCTGGCACTGTGCACTTGTTCCCTTTATGTCTCCCCATGACATGGGAAGCTCCACGAGGGCAAGGACCCAATTTGCTTGGTTCGTTGCTGGGTCCCAGAGACCCAGTAGGTACTCAGTTCCGGTTTGCCGAGCAAAGGGGGAACCCAGGATTTGGGAAGAGAAAATACTTGCCCAAGACGGGGCAGCCCATAAACAGCAAAAGCTGACCTAGAAACTTCATCTTCTAACCACAAATTTTGTGACTTTTCCATGATTTAAAAAAAAAAAAGGCTTTCATTTGGGAGTCTAAATTATTTGGGGGCCTTAATTTGTATAGAAGATCACAGTTTACATGTACTGGACACTATTTTTTGCAGGTATATAAACTACTTATTTCATTGAACCATGTAGTACAATTCACTGATTAAATGTATTTTTGCCCATATTTTTCATAGGTGATTTGGACTTTGAGAGATTAATTTATATAGAGTCAGAGCCAAGATTCAAATCTTTATTCTGCCTCCAAGTTCAGTGATCTTTCTACTTTTGCCTTTTACGTGGAGATCGATGTTTGTCAATGTGAAAAATTACCCAGGCCCGTAAGTCACAGCAACTGAAATTATTTAGCCAGTGCTAACTATGGTGCAGACCTTAATACCTGTAGAATTTCGTTAAGTGAGTGCTGGTTTAGCTCAGAGATCTTTATTTAAAAGGCAGTAAAAGAAGCATTGCTTCCAGACTCTTTCATCCATGTAATCAGTCTTGGCCTCCTATGTGGTCTAATTTGAAAGGCTTCTCAGCTCCCTTATCTCTTTCTCATTTTCCCATAATTGGCTTGAATTTCCTCATTTCTGGTCCTAAATAATTTTCAGCTTTTGAGGCTTTCCCTATGAATTACAGATATCCCTGAGATGGAATGGTATTAAAACTTCGCTGGAAGAAAGACTTGCCTTTCTTTGTGTTTATGAAGGAGAATGGAGATGAATGAGGACAAACGAGAAAATGAGGCTACTGTCACACAGCACAATGGCTCACATGCTTTCAAAGTGATAAACCTCTTCTTACCCAATGATATTTTTGTCCAGGCTCCATTGGACTAGTTCCTTGGGACTCAGGATGTTCTCCTCACAGCTCCTCTTTGGTATGTAAACCCACCTGCAGCCACTTTTTGGCAAAGGTCGTGCATGAATAGCACCGCTGTTTCCTATACTCAAATTCGGAGGTTTCAGGAGGGGGTGGCGTGCTGTGGCATTGCACTCTGAGGCAGGGGAGAGGAGCTGCCTGTGCATAGGATTGACTGCGTCACTGTCTTCGTTTATTTGTTTTATTTCTCAACTGTTGGATATTTCGATGCTTGTTTCTGTTAGGACAATAGGTTAGAAACATTGGTCTTTTAAAATCATGACCCTAAAAAGTAGATGTTCTCATTCTTTAAAAGGAACATTTAATTTTTTTCCTACCTTTTTACAGTTTTTACCTGGTACCAAACCCTTGTATCTTTTTTGCATAAGATGTACATTTAGCCAAAGGTACTAAGAGGTGCACTGGTGGTTCTACCTCCTCATTCCTCTGGGTTCTCTTTCTGTATTTTTGAAGAATCCTAATTAGTTGTTTGTAGTCAAGGTTGCTGTCCACACAGATACAGCCTGCACTGCGTCTTCCACCTGTTCATTCTTTTTTGACTGAACAGTCAAGGGCAGGAGATGGGGTATATTGGCAAGAAAAGGCGCTTAATTCCGGTCATCTTTCATTTTCTTTCTCTTGATTTCTTCCATATTATTCTGGTTTCCAGAAATGGGGTTTGTGGTGCATTGTTTGCAAAGATGGCTAGCTGGAGTTTTCCCCATCCTTGTATGCACATGCTGTCCTACCCATCAAGAGGCAGAGTCTCTATCCCCTTGAAGTCTGGGCTGGCCTGGGTGACAGAATGTGGCAGAAGTGATGCCGTGACAATTGCAGACTTTAAGAAGGGGCAGTTTCTGAGCCACCATGTAAGGAAGTCAGCCCAAGCTGTCCTGCTGGAGAGCGGGAAGCATGCTTGTCGCAGGAACATGGAGGTTCTGCAGTCTGCAGCCAGCACTGCTCTCACACATGGCTCTGAGGCACCTTGGATCCTCCAGCCCCAGGGGAGCCCGGCCAACACCCTGTGGGGCAGGGACGAGCGGTCCTCTCTGAGCTCTGCCCCAAACTGCACATCCACAGAATTGCCAGCAAATAGTAGATGTTACAAGCCACTGACTTTCAGGGTAGCTTGTTGCAGAGTAGATAACTGACAGGGTTTTTATATTTTCTAAATCTTCCCCCTCTTCAGATCTGGTTACTGTTTGTCCACGTATGTCCATGACCCTGTATTTCTAAGGGGCCTACTAACTGATGAGGATTTGTTTGTGGTGGTAAAATTTGTTCAGCAAATTTTATTAGTGGCTGTTTCTCATTTTGTTTTTGTACCAGCTTTATATTTGTCTTCCTGGGAGCAGATGTGATGTGTCACCTGACATGCCCCGAGAGGTCATTTCACTGGGGCACACAGTGACGCCAATTTTTACAGCTGTTTTATGGTAGAGAAAAAATCACTTCTTTCTCTCAGAAGAAAAACGGTGAAGATGGAAAAAAAGATTTCTTATTTTCTCTACAGAATGTTTCCTGCTACTAGATTAGACCATACTCACCTCCCAGACTCCGTGAATAGCTGACTGTTCTATTCATTGGTGGATAAAGAACAAAAGAGAAGGATCTGGAATTAAAAAATGAAGCAAAGGCCAAGCCCATCCAGGGAGTTTGCAGTGCACATTTTCTGTTCAAATTCTGTGTTCCCAGGAAAGCTTAGATTTCTGGAAGGATCTGAAACAATTTTTTTTTCTAATCACATGTTTTATTTTTATTAAATTGTGTTCTTCTAAAAGGGCTGATGCTACACAAGCCACAAATAGGTTACATTTTAGGGAAAGTCAGTCTTTTTTTTTTAAGTATATTTATTTTATTGATTATACTATTAACAGTTGTCCCAATTTTTTCCTCCCCTTTATCCCCTTCCACTCTGCACCCTGCCAGCTTATAGCATTCCCCTCCCTTAGTTCATGTCCGCGGGTTGTACATAGAAGTTCTCTGGCTTCTCCATTTCCTATACTATTCTTAACCTCCCCCTGTCTATTTTGTACCTACGAATTATGCCTCCTGGTCCCTTGTACCTTTTCCCCCATTCTCCCCCGCCCCACTGGTAACCCTCTATGTGATGTGCATTGTGTGATTCTGCTCCTGTTCCTGTTGTTTGCTGAGTTTTTTTAGGTTTAGTTGTTAGTAGTTTTGAGTTGGTTGTCATTTTACTGTTCATAGGTTTTGATCTTTTATTTCTTAAATAAGTCCCTTTAACATTTCATAGAATAAGGGCTTGTTGATGATGAACTCCTTTAACTTGACCTTATCTGGGAAGCACTTGATCTGCCCTTCTATTCTAAATGTTAGCTTGCTGGATAGAGTAATCTTGGATGTAGGTCCTTGCCTTTCATGACTTCAAATACTTCTTTCCAGCCCCTTCTTGCCTGTAAGATTTCTTTTGAGAAATCAGATGATAGTCTAATGGGCACTTCTTTATAGGTAACTGTCTCCTTTTCTCTTGCTGCTTTTAAGATTCTGTCCTTATCTTTCATCACGATTAACTTAATTATGATGTGTGTTGGTGTGTGCTTTCTTGGGTACAACATTTTGGGACTCTCCGAGCTTCCGGTACTTCCTGGAAGTCTAGTTTGTTCAGCAAATTGGGGAAGTTTTTCTTCGTTATTTGTTCAAATAAGTTTTCCATTTCTTGGTCTTCCTTTTCTTCTTCTGCCATCCCTATAATACAGATGTTGGAACGTTTAAAGTTGTCCCAGAGGTTCCTAAGCCTCTCCTCATTTTTTTGAATTCATGTTTCTTCATTCTGTTCTAGTTGGATGTTTATTTATTGTTTTTATTCTAAATCGTTGATTTGAGTTCTGGTTTTCTTCCCTTCACTTTTGGTTCCCTGTGTGTTTTTCTTTATTTCACTTTGTATGGCCTTCATTTCTTCCTTCATTTTGTGACCAAACTCAATTATTTCTGTGAGCATCCTGATTACCAGAGTTTTGAACTCTGCATCTGACAGGTAGTCTATCTCCTCATCACTTAGTTCTTTTTTTGGACCTTTGATCTGTTCTTTCATTTGGGCCATATTTCTTTGTCTTGGTGCACCTGTTCCGTAGTAAGGGGCAGAGCCTTAGGTGTTCACCAGGGTGGGGCAACCCTCTTTGCTGGGTTGTGACGCTGTCTGTGGGGGAGAGGCCAGAGGGGGAGCATTGCTGCTGACTCAGCTTTTGCCTCACTTTCTGTCTCTTCCCCCACTTCCCACAAGCAAACTGGGCCCTTCTGGTCCTGATTCCCGGGTGGGTGCGTTTGTGTACGTTCTGGGACCCTGTGGGTCTCTCCAGTGGACTCTCCTATGAGGCTAGGAGTTTGTACCACTGCTGCCTCAACCCCCACAGATATTTTCAGTCAGAGGTTTGAGGCTTTATTTCCCTGCTCTGGGACCCTGGGTTGTGTGGTCTGTCTCCCTCCCCAGTTGTTCCTCCCAGTTTATCCCCATGTGAATGTGGGACCACCCAGTCCACCACCTTGCCGAGGGTCCTCTCCACCCGGCTGCTCGTCTCCGCCCCTCCTCCCAGACTGGGTGAGTATTTCTTATCTCCTTGGTTGTCAAGTTCCATGCAGTTTGATTTCCTGGTTGTTTTTGTTTTTAAATTATTTGTTACCTTTCTTTGGGTTGTGTGAGGGAGCGAAGTGTTTCCACCTATGCCTCCATCTTGGCCAGAACTCCTCAGAAAGTCTGAAACCATTTTTAAAAGTACGACTTTTAATTTCCTGAGTAAATGAATGCTTGTTCTGGTGTCAGCTTCTATAAGCAATTTCCTTTGAAAGCTCAAGGTAGTGTTTTTCTCATTTTGTTGTCAGTTTTTTGTACTTTAATTAAAGATTTATTGTTTTTCCTGTTGTCTTTCTGCCTAGCAATTTCTCTCCTCAAACTCTTCTAAAAAGTTGATTAAAAAACAATTACAGGAATCATGTTTCTTCCAGGGAAGTGAGGTTTACTATCAAATGGATAGAAGAGGCTGGGTTTAGAGGATCTAAGTTGCCTTTTTTAATTGATAAAATCATTTTGAGCCCACTTAATGATCTGTTTATCGTTTCGTTTACTTCAGTGACTATCTCATTACACTGATTCCACGGGATTGGCAGTCCGCAGTGAGGTTAATGTTTTGCTACGTGAAGTGGGTTTATGGTGGGAGGTGGATAATTTTCTAGAGAGGACAGCGGGGAGTGGTTTTTAGGAACATACTCTCTTTCCGTAGTTTCATTTAAGAATAAACATATTTTTAACCCTACTTAGGTATATGTGAATTTCTACTTGGTTGTCATCTCTCCAACTTTAAAATGGTATTACAGGCTATTTATGTATTTTTTCAACATTTTCAAGCATATATCAAGTTTGCATATTTTCCTCTGAGTTACATTTTAAATCTCTGATAAATGAGGGCAGTATACTCTGGACCTCTAAGAAGCTGGTTCCACTGGACAGTATTTAGAAATGGTTTTCGTTGTTACAACTCGAGGTGGGCAGGAGCTATGCTGTTCAGTGGATAGAGGCCAGAGCTGCTGCTAAACATTCTGTGGTGCATGGTGTCTGGCATGCAGGGTGATCAATAAGTGCTTGTCGAATGGACGGGTGAGACATCAGTGAATGTCACAGTGGACATAGCGTGCCTTCTTTCTTTCTCCTCAAAGGCACTGAGGTAGGCTCGTTAAGGATCAGATTGCTAGTTCAGAGATAATCCATGGTTGTCTTGTTAAGATCAAGGGTTTTTGCATTTCCTCCACACAGTGGCAAGAATCAAAGCTAGATAATTTTTTATTTACATATAATGTGGTGCATGCGTGTGTGTTTCTATTGGAGAATACGTGCCACTATCAGCCAGAGAGATGGATTAACAGATGAGAATTGATGGTGGCATAGGGGGAATATGCCATTGGTACTTTCGTCCCTAAAGTTGCAGGTACTCCTTTTGTTGTCCTGTGGTTTTGGACTGAATCAGAAGAAAGCCGTACTTTGGTATAGTTCTTACTTTTGAGAGTCAAGAGCTAGTATGCCTGACAGTGCCCCTATTTTAGAAATGGGGAATCATTTTCTGCTTTATAATGCTTTTTTTTCCTAGTCTCCCTGGAATTTAGCTTTTGCTATTTTAATGAAAGAGGAAATAAGTGAATGTGATAATGAGGGGTTTTTTTGGGGGGGTAGAGACATTATTTAATGCATTGTAGCTATAGTACTATTTAAATTGTGTTAGTAATTTCCTCAATAGGAACGTTTAGCAGGGGATTTATTCCCCCGTCCTGCATAGTAGGTTAGCAACAGGAGTAGGAAGGAGTATCCCCCAGAATGGCATTTCTAATTTTTCTTGGTGCTCTCATTTCATTCATGGCCCAGAGTAAGTGTTTGCGTAACTATTTTGAGGAAGAATAATGTTTAAAGATGATGTACAAGACAGATATTGGGTAGCTTTTCTTAATACAGTGAATACTAAATACTAAAAGTTGTCCAGTTAAAACCCATACCTTTTCTAATGCGTACTTAGAAAACGGGTGCTTTGCATTCTGGGTATACCTTTTCTCTTGTTGCGTACTTACTGTGATGACATGTTCTCAGGAGCACTGCATCTTCTCCCAAACAAGATACCACATTTGGATAGAACTTTGTTTTGACTATGGACTAATGTTAAGAACTGCTATGGATTAAAGGAACCAATTAATTTGAAGCAAAAGTAAAAAGGGAATCAAAGCCAGTTTGAGCTGTTTCCTTAGCTCATTGCTTAAGTGTTTACAAATTTCCTGGTAATTACAAGATTTTTTAGGATTGTAGATTCTGAGGGGAGTCCAGTTCAAAAATCTCTGCTGACTAGCCAAGGAAGTTTGGAGTCTCAAAGGAAAAATAAAATTAGAGACAAGGTTTGTATAGTTGATGAAATGTCCTTCATTTAAATATATTAATCTCTTTGTTCAGTTGTTACATTTTAAAAGTTATCCCCTGCTTCCTTGGATGGGAAAGGGGAGGGAAGAATCAAAGTTTTCGATTAGCCTTTTGAGTACTGCATTTTTTGAACCGGCATTTTTGAGATGCAGAGTAAACACAAGACCACAGGGAATTTATCCTGTGGTTTTTCCATGAGAAATTTCTCATCTAGACTGAGAGCTGACACACGAAGCCTCTTGCTTTCCTTTGGCCCGCCCCAGCTTTCTTTTCATATTCATTCTGAAAGCTCATCCTTTTTTTTTTTTTCTTTCTTTCTTTTGGTGAGAAAGGAGCAACCAGAGGTGATTCCAAGACCCTTCAGACTGTGGCCCCTGCCGACTCTGCAGCTTCAGCTCTTTTCCTGCCCAGTTTGTGCTTGAAACTGTAGACCCACTAAACTCCTTTCAATTCCCCGAACACTTTTCCACTCTCTCATTTCCAGGTCTTCATCCATCTACTCAGTTCCCTCTGCCTCAAACACCCCTCCCTATTTTTTATGGGGCTAAGTCATACTCATCCTTCGAGTCTTCCCTTAGCTGTCCCTTCCTCTGAGAAGTCTTCCCTGTTATTGAAGTCCAACTTAAGTGGTTTGTTTTTTTATGCACGTCTGTAACCCCTGGTTTTTAATTGGCTTTAATGTTTACACCAGGCTGTGAGTTTGCAGATGGCGAAGGCCGTGTTGGTTGTGCTCCTTGTTGTATCACCAGTGCCTGCCATGGAGCTTGACACATAGCAGGCTCCCAGCCATTCACTGAGCACTTATTTGATGAGTGTTTAAGTGATAAACTGTATGAGGAGAGAAACCAGTGGAAGATAGAAGTGATCAGCGAAAATGGGGACTTGACCTGAATGATAAGCTCCCCCGTGGAAGGAGTTTGACACACTCTTTCCTACTTCCCTTCCTCCCTCTTTTCTCTTCTTCTTGTAACTCATTCATTCACCCAGCAAATATATTTCTGAGGGTCTAATATGTTTCAGCATTAGTCTAGGTGCTGAAGAGAGAACAGTGAAAAATCCCTGCCCTCATGGCATTTAAATTCCAATGAACTAATGGATAAAGAATGAGTTTAAATGTGAGTACAGAAATTAGTTTAGCAGGCTGGCAGGGTGTTGAGGAGGCCAGTTTGATGGGTGGGGTGTGTTGCAAAGTCAGATTTTGAATGCTTCCCTTAAGAGGATAATTTTACTTTGGAAAGTAGGTGGGTAATGGAGAAGTATATATAGCTTTTGAGCAAAGGAGGTTTTTAGTCTGTAATTAGTATGCAGAAACTGAAAGTAAAAAGGCCAACTTAGACATGATTGCCAAAATAGGGGTTAATAATACCCAGTTTGCCATAGAGTAGTGACAGAGAGGTAAAGATGAACGGAAGAGACTTCTTATTTTGCAGAGTGGGGGGAATGTATGTATTTGGACTTCTCGTTTCTAAAGATAATCTCCTTAATGGCAAACTATCTGGATAGAGGAGATAAAGGACAAAGATAAATTATAGCTATAAATTTAGAGCCCAGAGAAGCAGTGGGAACACTAAGAAAGACAGGGCAGTAGTTGGGGATGGAATGAAGGCGTTTGCGTAATTTGAATCTTAGATGTCAACAGACTTAGGTCCATTCATTTGATGTTTATTGAGTTCCCTCTCTGTACCGTGCTCTGGGTGCCATAAAGGTGCTCCAGACACGTGAGGCCTGGGCTGTCACAGAGTTTACAATCTACTGGACATCCAGCTAAGAGGATGGAGTTGTAGGTCAGTGTTTGGGAAACTTCTGTTGATAAAAGTATGACTTGAAGCCTTGGGAGTAGATGGGGATTTGGATCTAGGTAGCAGAAAATCCTGTAATTGTTTTAATTTTACATCTGATGTTTGATATAATATAATGATTGTAATTGTTATATAGCAATTGCTAGCAAAATAAAGAGATCAAAAACACCAGGAAATTACTGTGCATCTTTTAACCAGCTTTATTTGTTTTCCAAAAATGGAAGAAAAAAGACATTTCTTTGTCTTTAAATTCTAAGCTGTCATTTTATTAAAGTTCAGTAACTTAATGTCTCTGCCTGCTTATTACTTGGCAATATTTCACTAGCTCACAGATATCAATTTAGGCTGCTCTCTGCCAAATGCATGAAAGAAATAGAGGTCAGTAATTCATATGATATTTTAAACAGATTTAGCATGAGTGCCTTTCTGGGTTTAGGAAAGCCGTGGATGAGTAAAGAGAGACCCACGGTCACAGCTTCTCCCGTTGTCTTCATCTTCTGTCTTTCAGTAATGGCCATGAACTGGGAGGTTAGTGTCTTGGCTCAGAGCTGAGATGGTTTGGCATCGATTCTTCTGTTGCTCTCTCAAGCTGTTTTTTTTTTTTTCTTTTCCATCCCCGAGAACAGCACTCTCAGTGGGTGTGGAAGTGGGACGGGACATGAAGCAATGGTTTGCATTGCATTGCCTGGCGACAGCTTGGCATTTCTTCCTTTTTTCTTTCTCTCTGCGTCATTGCCACTGGTGCCACTAATTTTACTTTCCTTCCCCACCCTGTGTCTTCAGAGTAGCTCAGCGTCTCAGCATTCGATTTTCTTTGGAGTTGTGGCAGCGTTCTACAGTAATAGCCTAGGAGACGTTACTCATCCATCCCATCCTGCAGGGTTAGTGCTGGAGGAAGTCCCTCTGGCTGGGTCTTCGGCTTCCTCTCTCTGTTGTCTTTCCCTTTGGAGCACATCCTAAAAACAGTTAGACTGAGGGCCCTTGAACAATGCAAGGGTTGGGGCACTGACCTCCTGTGATGTTGAAAACCCACATGTAACTACAGGTTATGTCTGCAGACTCGCACCCCAACAGCAGAGCTGATCCTTAAACAGCACAGATTTGAACTGTGCAGGTAAACATCTATGCGGTTCAAACCAGTGTTTGTTCAAGGGCCCCTTGTACTCTGGATGTCAAGGCACCGAAAGGAGGGAGAACTGGGACATCCAGTGGGAGGGGGCGGAGTGCCAACCCCATTGCCTCCTGTGATTCCAGAAATTAAAGGCTGGTCCCCTTGAAGGAAGTCTAGAGGTTTTTCCCCCTTAGAACAAAGTGTGACTGAGAGACCTGGTTTCCACCTTTCTTCAGATCCCAGCCAAGGAAATCTGCCATGTCAGTTTCTTCCAAGCCCTGATCCCACTTCCCTCTCCCTCTGTAACCGTTCCTGTCCCCTATCTGTAGCCTCTCTTCCCAAAGCTGTTTTCTACATTTCCTAAAGAAGAAAGAGTTCTTGGAGCTTGTGTTGACTTTGACCTTAAAGGATGGGTAGGATAAAATCGGGGTAGGGTGGAGAGTCAGTAAATAGAACATGTTTTCTGCATTGAAAGCATAATGAAAGGTTCTTTGGCAGAAAAAATTAACAACAACAAGGAAATTAGGATTTGCTCAGTGATCTCCTACATGGGAGATCACTTTATCTTATAATCTCGTGTACTAAGTTTTCTTTTTTTGCCACCCCAGAACTGGTGACTTCGCCCAAGCACAGCTGCCCACTGCAGGTCCCCCAGGGCCCTGGTCCTGTGATTGGGGCTGTCCTTGGTCCGCTTCCTCCCCCTTGTGTCCGGGAGCTCATGCTGCTCGTCACCTCTCACTGGTTATTTTACTCATGCGTTCCTTCGTTCCTCCATTTATTCACATGTGCATTTGTTCTAGAATCATTCGTTAAGCAGTACCTACCTTTTTCACATTAAATATTGCACGCCACATTAACTTTTATGCATCCTCCGGGAAGAATTATAAAGAGACTTCTATCCTTAACATCACCGCCATTTGTTTTGGTGCCCACTCTGTTGTTGCCTTATTTTTCTTTGGTACCCAACCCCTGTCACAGGCCTCAATAATAGGCGTCGCCCCTCTGTTTGCTCTGATGCCAGGATCTCTAGTCCCTGTGACACTTCCACCCTCACCTGCTAATATGTGACCCAAACCCTAGGCACATATTTTTGTCTTCTCACAACAGACATAAAAAGAACATACATCTGTTCCTTTTATGTCTCTTGTGATTAACCTTCGAAAAGATAACCTGCTATGTAACTCTCTTCAAGTGTGTGTGTTTACAGTCCTGTATCCTATAAACAAGGCAACAGCAGGCTTCCACAGCTGCTCTGAAGTAATAGATACAGAAGTTGCCTCTCCAATTCATTTCTGCTTCAGGGAACTGCGAGGTGATTTAAAATCAATAATTGGTTTTTCAGTGACAGTATGTGGGAGAACAACTCTTCTCTATAAAAAATCAAAAGAAAAAAGTTCTTCAAATATATTAATTTGTTTCTATGTATGTGGCTTTTGTAGGGTTCTTGATAAAGGGCTACTGGACTTTGCTACCTACAAATTTCATTATTTCATCAACAGTACAGTGCCACCGGACTGTTACCGTGTGCACAGCACTGGGAGAAATGGCGTGAGAGATGCCGAGGAAACAGGTTTTGTTCTTTCCCTGGGAACTCTGTGTGTGTATGTTTACATGTATGTACATGTGTGCTTTGTACATTGGAGAATTAAAACAGAAAGGGACCCCTGTCGTATGTCTTCTTTGTATTTCTTTCAGCGTGTTGCTTAGCATTAGGCATTCAGTAGATCTTCAGAAGAGGAGTGCCTACGGAACTAGTCTGGATTGCATTAAACTACCCTTTTAATGACTTGCTATGAGATGAGAAATCCAAAAAGGAAGGAAAAGTGACATTCATATATGCACAAAGGCAACTGAGGAAGTTGCATGGGCGAATCTGCCTGTGTGTTACTTACAGCACGTAGCTTTCTCTGAAGATGAACAACAGCAGTGTCGATAGTTATGTCTGGTTTTTTTCAGAAGAGCTGAAGTGCGGGTGGAATTTGCAACCATCTACCTCCCACTCGTGCCTGCATTCATGCACAGGCACAGGGAGGAATATCGTGGGTCACTGCTGAGAGGTCAGAGCCTGACTGTGTTATTCAGCGCAGGAGGGTTTTTCCCCCCGAATGCCTTGTCCACTTGCATGCTAGTGCTATGGAAAAACATTTTTAAAGTAAGGCTTCTCATGTATGACCTTAATATTACAGTTTAAGTGGGGAAACAAAGCTGATAATGTACATGCAACAACTAGCAAAGGACAGAAGACATTCTATAATTGGTGCAAATTATGGGGTTCACATAATTGTGCTGTAAGAGCTCTGAAAATGAGAGCTTGTTTGGTGCATGTCGCTCCAGGGAAGCTCTGTGGGGTGGATGAAATATGAGTGGCCCATATAGGTAGGTGGGATTTAGTTGGATGCAAAGGGTGCGTGTGGCGAAGAGGAAAGAACATCCTGGGGTTGGAGAAAAGCCGGACCTGGGTGATGGGAGGGAGCCCAGTGTTAGCGTTGGATGGCAGTGAAGGCGGCCTGCCTGAGGTCAGGCTGCACAGGTCCAACAGTTCTGAGAGGATGTGCCACTGGTCAGAGACAGTGGAACAGCGTCCGGGGGACCGGGGGGGTCGATGTGCTGTCCTGGCCCCATCGACAGGTGCTACTGCATCTTCCTCCATCTTGGCATCAGGCTTTTGGAAGTGAGATTGACATCTTTCTCTACTGATTATATTTAGATACATTTGTTCACATCTGTACTCCCTTAAAGTGGGAATGAAGGGGGAGGAAATGGAGAGAAAGAGTTCCCGTTTGCTCATTTCTTAAAGATTGAGTTTATTCTTAGTGCAGATCTGTGTTACCCAGCCGAAGGGAAAGCTTTGCAAGGCCATTTAGGGGAGAGACCTCTAAGATTATGAGCTATGATTAGTGTTTTTACTGTGCTACAAGAGAACATATAAGAACATGTACATTTTAAAATTGTGGTTTAACTTTTATATTTAAAGCTCTGTACAGTAGACCAAGCAAAGGAAGGGCAAGTGTTGCTTCTTTAAAAGAGGGAAGAACCTGCTCCTTGTCGAATTAGGGAAGTCTCTAAGGCTCTGCCACACACTTTTTAGTCCCACTGACATATTACTCCCACATCCTTGTGGGTAGTAAAGTTAAAAATTTTTAAGTGTTCTTTGATTTGTTCCACCCACTGATCTAGTAGACATTTAAGTTCAATACTGCAGCTAGGAGAAAGGGAAATTGAAATATAATTTATACTTATTTTGTTTAAAGTCTCAAGAGTCACAGACTCTATGTCTGCACTAGCTTAGAAATTACAACAATAAATCGGCTTCCGTTTTAGAATGTGTTGTTAGTCATCGCGCTTTAGATTACATGGCGTTACTATTTGTGACCTACTTAAAATGGTTGCCCCTGCAGTGGGAACAGTATGTGTGCGCACACTGGTCGACGTGAAGGCTTTTTTAAAACTGCCCTTTGCCCTGGCTGCTGTGGCTCAGCGGGCCTGTGAACCGAAGGGGTGCCCCAGGTCTGGTCCCCAGTTGGGGGCATGTGAGAGGCAACCACACGTTGATGTTTCTCTCCCTATCTTTTCCCTCCCTTCCCCTCTGTCTAAAATAAGTAAGTGAAATATTTTAAATAAATAAATAAATAAATAAATAAATAAATAAATAAATAAATAGAACTGTCTTTTGATTGCAACCATATTTTGAACATGAAGAGGTTAAATAAATATACAAGTAGACTGTGAATCTCTATGGGCTGGATTTTTTGGAGTGAAGAAGTGTGATGATGAATCTTTGTCTAGGGAAGCACTTAGTAAATAGTGTAATAATTAAATGGCTCCCCTCTGCTCTGTGTTGAGATAACTCTGTATTACAGTTTAACACATTTTTCAGAGCGATCATCTGTTATGTGGAGCAATTCCCAGAGCATCAGCCAAGAGACTCAAGCCCGACCCATGCCCTGTTGGCACACTGCTCCGAGGCCTCGGGCAGATCGCATGGCTTCTCTTCCTGCAGGAAATGAGACATTGCATTATCACCTTACTTCATGTCAGTCTTTCTAACTTCTAAAATTGGGATGGTCCTGGCTATGCTACAGAACCTCAGAGGAATGTAAAGGATAAATACAGGATAAATCCTTGGTCTCAGGTGGCACTGGTACATGGTCCTTATTACCTGTGGCACAGTTGATTTCATCCAGGTAGACATTTGTAGGCAGATGTCAAAATGAATCTTATATCAAACAGCACTATTGCCTCCTTCATCCCATTGGGAGCCTCATGAGAGCTTTGACAGAGATTCTCTTCAGAAATAATTGATCCTTAAAAGGAAACCATAAGATTACTTGAAAAAAAGACAGACATTGCATGCACCTTGTTTTGCTGTCCGGAAGTGAGTGCTCTGAGGGGGTGTCCTGCTGGTCGGTTGGCAAGGACATGACTCATTTGGGCTGTAGGGATGAAAAGGGCTTCGCTCGCACAGGGACGTGGGTGGATAGTGGACAAAGGCTTCTTTCCCTAAACCAGTAGAATGTTTGTGATTTAATCGCTTTCTTCACATTGGATAATGAGGCTTTCTCCTTAATATGAATATTTCTATCTTCATGTTTTCTTTTAAAATGAAGTCTTATTTTTATTTCCCCAAATTCTAGGGAAGAGTGATATTAAGTAGGAAAAATTAAAACCACTACTAATAATACATTACTTTTTAGAAAGGAACCTTTGAACCTTCTTTTCTTGAAGAAGACTTGGGTTGTAATCACTTGCGTATCTAAAGCACATTACGTGAGTGCAACTGCACTGTGCGTTATGGGTGTTGCACACCATCTGCAGAGCGCTGTGGGGGTGTCAGGCAGGGAGGAGGGTTTTGTACCAAGGACTGGATTTTCCTTTCAGATTTTTTTGGCAGATTCAATATGTACTTCTTTAGGAATCTTTCACTTTTTCATTATTTCAGTCAGTGTGCATATAATACTTTATATTTCTATTCCAATCAAGAGCTTCTAATTATTTTTACTTTTTGCCAGCGGTTGATAGCTATAAACACACATAGTTTAGGTAGTCTGAGACTATGGATAGGTTTTTTTAAAAGTTTTTTTGGTTCCTCCATTGCTTGGCCTTCACTTTTAAAAAATTGCTCTGCTTTCCAGAAGTTTTATCAAAATACGTTGTCAATTCAAAGGATGTTTTTAAGAGGCTCATAGAATACGGTTTGCCAGAGTGTATAATCCAGTAAACCTCTGGTCATTTGGGGGCAATGATTGGAATATGCCGGAGCTCTGAACTCGTTTGCATATTTCATCATGCCCCTCTATGCAAGGGATGCCTCTGCAGATTTTCTCTGTGCATGTGAGTTCTGCCGTATTGGGCGTGGCTGAAGTACTTAATGGGGTGCGTCAGAATGGGACAGCCATAACTGCCTGTTTTATATTTTAGCTAATTAAGGTTAAGACAACTTACATATCTTTACTTTTCTGTGTTTCATTGAGAGAAACAGAATACTTACAACACCATGAAGAGAAGAAGATGATTTGTACGTTCTAATCCTGTGTGTTAGTATAGAGTTTATGGTATACAAAATGCTTTCTTAACTATTACCTCGAAAGACCTTGGGCAAAACAAAATATGAAGTATTGAGTCTGGCCTACATTTGTATGCTGTTTTCCTAAGGAGCTATTTGATTAAAATGAAACCAATTGACTATGAAATAGTAGGCACTGGCCAATTGACTGGCAGTTTTAAGAATAAAAAATGAAATATCCTAGAACACACAAGGCAGTCTTCTGTGGAGTGGAGGAGCCCGTAGATAAAACGCGTGGCCTCAGCCAACAGTGGCTTCTTTGACCCGAGGGTGCTCAAGCACAGACTGGGCGACTAGGTGGGGTGTTGAACACAGGGTTCAGGTACAAGAATATTTGGACTAAGTGGCTTTTAAAGTCTTGTTCAAAGGATATTCGAGGTGTGTATATTGTTTCATTTTAATATAGATGTGAATGTTTTAAATCGAGATGACTGGTAGCACACACGAAGATGTCCTCAGCTTCTGCCAACATTGCCTGTGTGGCTTGAGAAAGTTCTTTTGCTTTGGAGTCCTCTAAAACACAGAATAAGGGATAAGCCTGGGTTTCCTAAGGACTTTGTCTTTTGGTAAATATCTCAGTACAGTCTGGTTAAGAGGAACTCGATGTATGTTCCAAATAGAACTTGTTACTTTGACCGTCTCAATGGAGTCCACTCATATCTCTTCCATGGTGTTTTCTGTAGCAGCCAATAGGCTGCTTGACTATTGGGAGTCACAGCCACCTCATTCAATCACTGTCTTTATTCCTTCCGTCGAGCCTCATCCTCCTGATCTGGGTTAACTCTGTCATCACTGACATTCCCAGCCCTGTGTCCTCACACGCTCCACATCAGCTGCCTGACAGTTACAGACGTCTGCAGTTCTGTGATGTCTGATTTGCACATTCTCTAGGCATTTGTGCTCATAAACTCTGCTCTCTCCACTTGCCTCCTTTTTTGTTAAACCTGTTTTTTTCCGTTTTAGTTTAGGCATGAAGGGACACCAAACCTGTTTACTTTCAGACTCATTATATCTCTAAATTAGATAATTTCCCTGACTTCCTACTTTTTTCCTAGCATCGTGTCCTGCCTTTTTTTCTTAGCTCCACATTTCATCTCCTACATGCTTTTTTAAAGAGTTTTATTCCCGACTGTATGGCAAGTTCAAGTCTTAGAAGAGCATATGCCCAAGAACACAGTTAAAACATGAATACATGCAGTAGTCATATTTTCTTTATGTTAATTTTTCTGATTATAAAATTAAACACTTGCTATAGAAAATCTTTAAGTATTAAAAATGCTTTCAGTCTTTCTACAGCCCAGAGATAATTAATGTTTTTGACTCTTCCCTTCTAGTTTTTTTTATCTGTGAACCTAAATGATCCAGCCTCTTTGTCATCCCTGCCTCTGCCTATTTTGTCACAAAAACAAAAAACAAAATACGCATACAAGAGTGTGCCGACGTTAGGGATCCCCTCTTACAAGTCTTCATTCTGGGGGAGGGGGAGTAATATGAGCAGGTAAGGGGTGACATGGGAAAACAGGTAAATGTACTCCAACTCTGGAGAAATGAGCACAAATGAATGGAGGGAGGAATGAATCAAATAAGGAATGTGAGGGTGGAAGACTGCACACTGAGTGACCTCACCTCGTGAGGGTTATGCTTCTAGGAAGTGGAGGCGGGTGCGTGCTTGTGAGCAGCAGCCGGCGAGAGGGGATGGCACCCCAGCTCCCAGTGGAGGGTACATCAAGGGCTCGTGGGAGCACATTTAAAACAAATCCCCTTGCTACCAAATATACTTGGAAAAAGTGTATTAAGCCCTGATACAGAAGTGGGAAGGGATGCACGAGAGCATGGGCGCCTTCTTGAAGGCTGGCTACCGCAAGTCCTGATGAGTCATCTCTGGCATTTAGTCTGACCCTGTGGAACATTTTCTGTATTCCTGTGTTCCCTGGGCCTCCCCTCAGCTAATTTAGTTTACATTGTGGGGCTGGAGCAGTGAGGTGGGAAGAGAGTGATTGGTTCAGATTTCATTTGTGAAATGAAATCACACATTTCATGTGTGAAAACAATTACAAGGCAGGCTGTATGGAAAGAGGGCGAAGGAAGTGATGTCACTTATCTTCCTGGTTCAGTCAGAATGGCAGGAATTTGTCAAGGGCAGTATAATGGCTGCTTTGGAGGAAAAGATAAAAAATTATATCAATAACTAGTATACAAATACATAAAATAGATAATATAATAAGTGTATTTGAAACTGACTTCCTTTCTGCAAATTTGTTTCATGTTTTCTTTCAAAATTGGAGTAAAGTATATTTAGACTCATAAGCTTAAAACATTAATATTGTAAAATGCAAAGCAAATTAGAACATTTAGACCACAATTATGATGCATGACCTCAAAACAGTAAGGGGTGCTGCTGGCAGAAGCCTAACAGTTGCTACATTAAGTACATACTTACGGCAAGTTCCCCTCACTCCCTTTATGGAACACACTGGCTTCCTTTTGACTGAGTTTACGGGGTGACACTGATTAACAAAGTTACACAGGTGTCGGGTGCACAGGTCCACAGCAGATTATGTGTTCACTGTGTTGTGTGTTCGCCGCCCCAAGTCCAGTCTCCCTCCATCACCGTGGACCCTCCCTTTCCTTCTTCCACGTCCACCTGCCTGCCTCCCATGGTAATCAACCCACTGTGGTCCATGTCTGTGAGGTTTTTTTCTCCTTTTTTCTTCTTTTTTTGCTCAATCCTTCCATCCGCCTCATAGTCCTCCAACCCTCTCTAGAGCTGTCAGCCTGCTCTCTATCTGTGAGTCTGTCTTTATTTTGCTTGTTACTTCATTTTGTTCGTTAGACTCCATATATGAGTGAAATCAGATAGTACTTGTCTTTCTTCAACTGGCTTATTTCACTTAGCGTAATGTTTTCCCAGTCCATCCGTGCTGTCGGAAAGGGGAAGGTTTCCTCCATTTTACAGCTAAGTGGTGTTCCACTGTGTAAATGTACCCCAGCCTTTTCATCCAACTCATCCACTGCTGGCACTGGGCTGCTTTCGAATCTTGGCTGGTGTAAATAATGCTGCAATGAGCATAGGGGTGCATATGTTCTTGGAACATTTTTTAAATAGGCATTTTCTTTTAAATGGCTCCACTCTTTACAAAATACGTCGATTGTAAATAGAATGTTAGAGTGAACTACACACTCTCCAAAAAAAATTCAGGAGAAACATTATTTACTTTGGTGATTTATTTTATCCCATCGTCTTGGTTTTGAATTGAACATTGGACAAGAAAACAAAAAACTTTCCTTAACACTGGAACGAGCCCCTTTTAAAAAGGCTGATTTTTAGGGCTGCTGGCTAATTTCCATTTTCTTTTCTAATATTTTTTTCATATTTATAGAATCTCAGGTTTTCTAAGTTCAGAAGTTTGGAAGAAAGTTTTAAAAGAAGATCCCTCCTTGGTCAACCACACCTCCGTGGAGGACGCAGGAGGCGCGTGCCCAGGGTGGCAGGGCCCTCGCCGCTGCGCCACCTCCTGGTCCCGGAAAAGGTGGAGGCGGCCGTGCTGATGCCCACACTGTCTCTGTGGCACATGGAAATTGAGAAGTACTGACTTGTAGGCCTTCCTTCTGATTTATAAAATTCTCATTCTGTACAAGATCTAATTAGCCATTTTAAAACTATGTGTTTTTAAGCCATCGATTTATATCTGACATGGAGAACAGTTTATAGAACTAGAGTGGTCTATTATCAAGGTTAATCAGATCGTGTTATTCCCCTGCTTAAAGTCCTTCATCCTATAACTGTCCTCCACACTTAGAAAAATAAATTTAGATTCCTTATCAAGGCCTACAAGGGTCTACATGACCTGGCTCCTGACACCCCTACTCCTCTCCCACCTCATCTCTGACCAGTTTTCCCTTATTGCCCAGGCCTCAGCCACGCTTGCTGCTGTGTGAAGACACCCAACCTCGTTCCTGCTCTCAGGCTTTTTATGGTTTCACACAACTGGAACATTCTTCCTTTAGTTGGCTTTTCCTTGTTGACCAGGGGCCTGCTCAAATGTTGCATTCTCATAGAGGCATCTGTCGGTTCCGTGGCAGTGCAGTGCCTGGAAAGGTAAAAACCACATTTCCCTTACCCCTTGCTGCTGGATTCCAACGTGAGATTCAGGTTTGGCCATCAGACGCAGGGTGTGAAGTGCGAGAGGTGAACGCGGGCTGTTTCTGCTGGGGTCTCATTATTCTCTGGCTTCCGTGGCAGGTGTTCAGACGTCTGTCGCTTATGTGCATCTCCAGGGGCGGATGCGGGGTGCCTGTCGTGTTAGAGGCCAGTGGTTCATGGCTGGGCCGTGGCTCCCAGAGCAGCTCATTTCTGCAGTGCAGCCTGGGGAGTATTTCCCGGACACTCAGTCTGGACTTGTTCTCCAGCCTTGCCAGCAGTCACAGTCTGACAAATCACAGTCTTAAACTAGTGAAGTGATTCTGTTGTCTCCCATCATACCCTAACCAATGTTCGTGCTCTGCCTACCTACCTTCTCAGGCAGCCCTTACCCGCCCTGCCGATGCCCTTCCTGGCACTTACACAGTCCCGAATGAGGAATAGATCTCCTTCTCATGCACCACGACCTCCCTCACTAGGATCTGTGTTTTCTGAGGGTAGGCGTTTGTACTTCTCCTCTTTGCTTATTCATACCCAGAACAATGCCTGGCACATACTAGGTCTCAGTCAGTATTTGTTGAGTGGACTTACGTGCCAGCTCCGGATTTTGGTTGCCTGCCTGGAGACTGGAGATGGAGACCGAAGGCTGCAGTGGGGTTCGGTGAGGGAGCAGCATCGTTAACAACTGGCGTTTGTGTGCAGGGGCAGGGCAGCAGGGCCCGCCGTCCACCGGGCCTGCTGTGGGCTGCAGCCCAGGCGCAGCGTTCACGCCCGTGTCTGGGAAATCCTCCCGAGGGGTTTCCTTATTGGAAAAGTCTGTTACAGTTGCACGTGGGACTGGTCTGACAGTTTCTAGTCTCAAGAAAGTCATTTAAAATTTTGCACGATGGACTACTACTCAGTCATAAAATAAAGAAGAAAATTTTACCCTTTGTGACAGTGTGGATGGACCTGGAGAACGTTACACTAGTGGAATAAGTCAGTCAGAGAAAGGCATGTACCATATGATCTCACTCATATGTGGAATCTAATGAAAAAAACGGAATTAACAAATGAAACAGAGACCAACTCACAGATAAAGAGCAGGCAGACAGCTCTGGGGTGGAGGGATTGAACGAAAAGGAGAAAGGGCTCATGGACATGGACAGCAGGGTGGTGAGTGCCGGGGGCAGGGGCATAAGGGGGATAAATGGTAATGGAAAAATGCAATAAAAAATAAATAAAAATTGTCAATTTTACAAGCTGGGTAATTTAGAGTTTGTAGACTTACCTTTCTGGAACACTTCATTCCTTGAATTAGGGTAATTCAAAGAATAGCAAAATATCATTTTCCTTAAAGTGTTAGAATTCGTAGATGGCCATAAACCAAATACATACATGACTATATTAATAAAAATGTGTCCTAAAGTTGTTTTTTCTTTAGATCAGCTAAATCTAGTCCAGTGTAGCTAGCATTTCTTTTATTAAAATGGAATGGAACAGAATGTAGTGTACATAGGAATGGCAGGTATTTCTGAAACTTTAGTTTCATGGGGGGCACTGTGTGTATGTGTGTGCGTGCGTGCGTGTGTGTGTGCGTGTGTGTGTGTTGTATACCCTGGGTCATGATGAAGGTGGCGTCTCCTCCTGAAGATTCAAGTAAAAACTTCTTGGAAGACATGGAGAGAAAACTCTATGATCTACAACTCTACACACAAGTACTGCTAAGACTGAAAGTTAGAATGTTGTCTGTGGAGAGACTTCATGTCTTGTCTTTCCAAACCCCAGACCTGGAGCCAACGCCTGAGGCTCGCTCAGTGTTCACACAGGTGGGAAGGCAGGCGAGAGTGCAGGCGCCCCTGTGTGGGCTGGTACTAATGCTCCGCCACGGTCTCATCTTCAGGCTTTTCAGTGCAGCGTGGAGGAATTGCTGTTACCTCAACCCTGCTTCCCAAGTAGAGAAAAGGAGTCTTGCTATGATTTTTATAATTGTCTTCTTATTGCCCTGAGTATAAAGGAAGAAAGTAATTCTGAGGATTAGCCTGAGCCACTTTAAGCTGTAAATTACACGTGACTCCTTGGCTTCTTTCCCACTTCCCCTACCTCCAGGGTGAGGCGGGGCATCTTTGCCAAGGTTGTCCTAAATATTCTTTACAGAATTGTCATTACAGCAGGAAGGTTGTTTGTTACCTGGGCCATGAACCAAGGAGACCATTGCTGGCAAAGCCCCATCTGTCCTCTGTTGTCCTTAGAAATTCAGCTCTAGCCCAAAACTTCCTACTCAACCAAAAACTGCAGGCAGTCACTGCCCTCCATAGAAGGTGGGCTGATGTCTATCTGTGCTCATCCAAACCTCCTTGAGGCTCTGACTTCCCATCCCAAACGTTCCAGCCTCACAGCACACCCTTTGGGGGAGGGGTGTGATCATTTCCACTGAGTCTCACAGCATTATAATGAGCTGAACTCAGCAGGAGGCAGTACACGTAAGACTCAGCTGTGGGCTCCGAGTCCCGGCTGTACCTCTCCTGCGCTTGGGAATGTTCTCACACATCTGGGCCTTGCTGTCTCATCTGGAACATGGGAACCTAGTAAATGCGCTTGCTGTGGGGCTGCTGCCCATAAAATTATAAGCCTCCTTGCCCCGAAACTGCCAGCCACGAATATTTCTCGAGGATCTGCCGCTCCCCTGATGCTGTGGGGAGTTTAGGAAAAGCTGTCAGGGAGCTTACCGTCCTCTGTAGGGGAAAAAGTCCCGTGCACTTGACCCATGAGCAGAGCAGCATAACCGCCATGCTGTTCTGACTTAGAAAGAGTGGCTGTGCAGGTGGGTGAGCTTTGAAGGGGGTTTTGGTTGTTTTTTTTTAAACAATTTCTTGCTATTCAAAATAGCAAGAAAACGAAATCTAAAATGCCAGTTTATTAATGTTAAATCCATTTTATCTGAACCAGTTTTATCAGCAGATTCTGTCCCAATAGGTAAAACTACTAAGAAGCTGTACAATCTCAGAAATTGTTTAACTGATGTGGCCTCAGGACAAAGGAAGTTAGAAGAATTGAATAATTAATGTCATTGAACTAAGGCAGTTTGACGTAGCCATTTCCACTGGGGGTGAGCTTGCCAGTGGACCACAAACGTCGGAGTTCCCTAACTGCAGCTTATGTACCCATCTCCACGCTGGGAGATTGTCCATTGTACCAAAAATGTATCCGCACCCATTAGCTAAGGCTCCTTCTCCCCTGGCCTGTGCACGGAAGGATACTGCTGTTATTATCTGACTGACAATAGTTGACAATGAGTATTTCTTTAGATATTGTTTAGATAACTTCATACGCAGTGAAGTTAAAGTGAATCCTTCTAGTTTGTTGAGCTCTTCTTTTTCTTCAAACTATTGTATCATTGTGTTATAGATAGTTACAATATAAAAATTAGGAAATACAGATAAGCAAGAGGAAACAACCCGTAATAACATTTTGCACAATAGCATTGCATTGTGTATTTATTAAATAGCTTTGTTATGTTAACAGACAACCCCAAGATCTCAAAGTCTTAAATCAGGTATTAACTTTCCTCTCCAATTATGTATTGGTGGTTCCGGGGTGGCCGTGTCCAAGCTCTGCCCTGCCCAAGTGTCTTCTCATTTGGAGACCCAGCCTGAAGGAACCATCCCTCCACGTACAAGCCCGTGCTCCTGGCAGAAAGGACAGGAGAGCCTGAGCACAACCGCACAGGACATTCCAGCTTCCCCTGGAATGTGACGTAGCTCACATTCGCTCAGATTCTATTGGCCAAAGCAAGTCACAGAGCAAGTCGGTGAAGTAGGAGTGTTTCCTTGGGAAATTCTGGGAGTAGGGTGTATAGGGGATATTTGTGAAAAATAATACAATTTAAGATAATTTTGGTTACAAATATTCCCTTTCTCCACACATAAAATACACATGTATACAGTAATTCAAAAGCCATATTCCACTTTCCTGTTCATGAATATTCCCTTCCATCCACAGGCGAAACATACTCACCTCCACCCGAAGATGAGTCATCCAGCAACATATGTTGCATTCTTGAGAACTTTTACAATGTAGCTATAAATGAACACACATGGCAGTGGTTGTGGTCTGCCCTGTTTCAATTCATATCTTAAAACTGGATATATCAACATGTATTTCAATGGAATTTTAATGCTTGCCCTGAATTTTGTAACAATATATTGCTAAAAGTTACTTAATCAGGCCTTCATTAGTAAACATTGGGATTGTTTTTAGTCTTTGCCATTTTAAACAACTGTTCAAACTAAACTTTAAAAAATTTCTTCAGCTCAGTATTTCCTTGGGAATTAGTGAGTCAAAGGATAAATGCATATTTTTAGTAGTTCTTTATTTTTTAATTCCCTGTTTATCACTTTTTCCAATTTTTTTAAAATTGGGATTTCCTTTTTTTTCTAATTGATCTAAAAAAATTACATCTTAGGGATTTTTTTTTACCCTTGTCTGTCATATGTGTTGCTTATATTTTTTCTAACCAGCCCTTTGACTGTATGTATGATATTTTTTTTAACTTTCAGTTTTTGAGTCTTAAGCAGGGCACAGACATTATATGGTATGAAATTAGAATGAAACACAAAGAGGAAATGAAAGCAATAGCACTAGATAGGAGGTCTCCCAGGAACTGGTCAGGACTGAGATGGAAACTCAAAAAAGAGCCAGAAGCATCAAGAGTCTCGTTTTTCTTGCCAGAGGGAAAGGGGGCCTGGGGAGAGGACGGAGAGGGAAAGGGAAAAGGTTCTCTCTCCTGCTTCTCTTCACCCTCAGTGTCTACACTTCCCACTGGTATAGCTCATCTTCTGGCCCCTCTCAGAAAGAGACACTCTCCATTTCTAGTCTTGGAAAGAGCAAAATGTTCAGAATAAAGCCATTGATCCTTCTTTGAGTGACAGTAAAGTCTGTGTTTGAAGAGAAGATGAAATATATCTGTTTTCAATTGGGAAGCAACATTTTGGTACATTATGCTTTGCTTTGGTTTTTGCTTTTTCATCTTTTTGGCATCTTTGTTTTAGATCTTACCTGCCAGGAGCTTTCCTTTTTGATGAGTCAGCTGCTTTTTAAAATCAGTGCCACAATTTTAGGAACAAGCCAGTGATGTTGCAGTATTTTCAGGGTTAAAAGCATTTTGATTAAAGTGAAATTTGTCGGTATACTTCAAGCCAAATTCTGAAAATGATTACTTGGAGTTTCACCTGCATTCATTTCCATTCCTGTGTTTTTCAAATATCAGGTTACTTACTCATTTTCAGGCTTAGTGTTATATATTCTCATTACAAACAAATTCATGCTATTTACTTTATATTTAGAAAATTGAAGATTAGCAACTAGCCTTTTAGAAATAGCACCCATTGTGCCATAATCACCCAGTCTTCGTGGAAGTCATTTCCTTGTTATTCATTGTAACTACAAATCCCACTTCCAAGGGAATTCTGTATGTGGGAGTCTGATTTCTGTATGTGCTTATTTACACCAACAAAAATGGCACATTGTTTTTATTCTTAAAGTTTGTTTTAAACTGTTTCTTGAAAAGTAAATGCTTGATCCCCTCAGTTCAGGCCTCCTGATACTGAAGAACTGAAAGAAAGCAAAGCTGATTTGAACCTCCCAAGAGTCTGTTTAAATACCTGTGGGTGCCTTGGAGGGACAATAACTCAGTATAACTCTGGATAAGCCCTTCCTGAGCCAGGCGGGGAGCTTCCCTGTCTTTTACATATGCATGACAGAAATCTCAACTGTGGTTCCCAGACTGCGAATTCATCAAGGAGAAAAGCCCCCTCCCCCCAAATACCCAAAGAACAGCCCAGGCCCAGCTGGTAGTGCCGCCTTCCTGTGAGTGCAGTGCTGGCAGCAAAAAATTAAAGGACACTTCAAGCAGCTCTTGACCCTGGCAGGTAAGAAGAGTTTCTCCTGCTAGGATTTCTCACCGTCCCGTCCTCACAAAACCACGGAAATCGAGACAGCACCAGAAAAGAGACAGAAAGACAGGTTAGGAGAACAGGAAAATGGCCCCGGTTGTAGCGCACAAAACAATAACGCTCCTCGTGTAAAGAGCGCCACTTGAGGCATAGATGTTTTGCAAATAAGCTAACGTTTTCAGTGATTCCCGTGCGTGACCCTGAGAATAACCCACAAGTAGGTTACATGTATATACTTACACACACATAACATTTCCCTACCTCGTGGAATTGAAAACTGAAGCTTGGAGATCACAGGTAGCCAAGGCTTTCCTCTGTGGTAAATGGCACGTCTCCCCTCCCCATCCGTCTTTACCACTGAGCTCTGTTGCCTCAGTATATGATTTATTTCACTGATCAGGCCATGTTTTGATGCCATTGGGGAGGATGCAGATCTGACATCTAGAGTTACAGTTTCATCTATTTCAAGATGATCCTTTTTTTTTTTAAGATTTTATTTATTTCTACAGAGAGAGGAAGGGAGGGAGGAAGAGAGGGAGAGAAACATCAGTGTGTGGTTGGCTCTCACGTGGCCTTCAGTGGGGACCTGGCCCACAACCCAGGCATGTGCCCTGACTGGGAATCCAACCAGTGACCCTCTGGATCACAGCCTGTGCTCAATCCATTGAGCCATACCAGCCGAGGCTTTTTTAAGATGATCTTAAATATGTAGAAAGAAATGTTAGTTGCAAATTGGTCATTTCAGCCTTCTTCTACAGATGGATGAGTTATCACTGTAAGGCCTGGTATCAGTAAAATCACTCAAGAGTATATGTAGTCAACCTTACAATTCCTGGGAAACATTCTGCCTTGACAAGTAAAATGTTAAAACTAGTGGGATCTTAAAGAATTTTTTTTGTTTTGGCTTTTATTTGTAGTTCTTTCACATAATTTTTGCCAAGAGTTGTAAATGGTCCTGTGAACATAGTATTTCACACCAAAGACTTTTCTGTGGTTTGTTTCGTCAGATCGAAAAAAAGATTGTGATGAAATATTGTCCCCCAAGGCTCTGGCCAGTGTGGCTCAGTGGTTGGAGTATCGTCCCATAAACAGAAAGGTTGTGGGTTCAGTTCCAGGTCAGGGCACATACCTAGGCTGGGTTTAGTCCCTGTATGGGGCACATACAAGAGGCAGTTGTTCGTGTTTCTCTGTCACATAAATGTTTCTCCCCTTCTCTCCGTCCCTTCCCCTCTTTCTAAAATCAATAAGCATGTCCCCCAGTAAGGATGAAAAGTGATTTAAAAATACTGTTCATAAGTTTCTACTTTGTTTTATACCCTTGGGAAAGCTGAGGGCTATACCAACGTAAAGCTCTTTACAACTGGTAAATAATTCCACTTTAAAAGTAAGTATCACTTAAAGAGAAAAATACTAAATATTACCAAATAAACTCAGTGTATTTGAAGAAAATTCACCCTGACAGATATATGTGTATATTCTGTTAAACATTTCGGAATTTATTTCTGGTGCACTCTTAGGAAGCCACTTTCCTTTCCTTCTCCAGTGGAGGACTTAACTCAGACCCCACTGGCGCACACACATTTGGTTTAACCCGAGTGCACTACGGTGGTCAGCTGCGCTCTGTTCATAATGAGTGTGGTTCTGTTCTGTCCTGTGTAGGAGGCGCCTTGCTCTGTGCCCGGTCTTAGGTTGTTGTGCAGTCTTCACACAGGGGCTTGGCAAAGTAGGTTCCTATATATAGGGTTAAAAATTGTAGCAAGAAAAGGGAAGCTTGTTTTATCATTGATATTGTACCAATTCAAAATATATATCATTTCCTGTGACCAGTCTTTTTATTTGTAGAATTTAAGATTAATATTATTTTATAAACTTGTAGAACTGTAAATCTGCAAAGACCTTAGCAATCATACTTTCTGTACCATGGAGTAAATGCAGCCTGGAGCCTTGAAGGGACTCTTCCCAGTTGTGTGCGGGAGGCCGCCACTGCTTCGCTTTGCTCAGGGACTCTGAATCTCAGTCCTGCACCATTTCTCTGCTGCTGTTTCTTTAGACCGAGGCAGAGGGAAAGGGAAAAAAGACCGACAGGAGCGGAGGATGCAGTGTTCCATGGACTGGCCTTGACTGTTATGTTGGGAGATCCATTGGTTTTGAAGTCTGGAGGCCTTGGCTTCTGTCCCTGTCTTTGCCTTGGTTTTGATGTCTTGGGAAAATGGTTTAACTTTCTGGCATCATTTTCCTCTTAAGTAAAAATTGTCTTTTCTGCATTGTTTTATATAGCTGGCTCGCTGGCATGATTTTGTTTTTAGTTTGTTTTTTATTGGGGAAATGTGCCTTTTAAAGAATTTTGTATACAGTGATGTTTCTTTAAGTCTTTATTCTCCAGAGTTCAATTTATAAACAGGTAACTATGTTTAATTATAAAATTATAAACCTCTACAGCTGCCTAGATGCTGTTACTCCATTCTGCGGGCCAGTGACCAAGTTGTGTTTCTGCTTATTCTTAGCTCCCAAAGCAAATTGTTGATTTTATCAAACATGGTTTTCAGGTAATTAGAAGTGTAGCAGAAAGGTTTAAGATGACAGATTTGGGGTGTCGCCTCTTAAGCAATGTTTACACTGCTTAAGTGGTGCCTTATGTCTTTGAGAACTTGGTCCAAAGAAAAACAGCCACACTCTAGAAAGTACATCATATTTCCTATTACTAATATAAATATATACCCTTTTGATAACTCATTCATGACAACCTATAAAGTATTCATACTCTTAACAGCATATATAATAAACTCTTAGACTTTATGTACCTTTTCATTGATATCTAATTAAACGATTAAATTAAGAAGTCAGTATTCAAAGGGAAACAGAGGAAATGCTGCGTTATTACCTCATTCTTATTTTTAAAAGGTACATTGTACTTGATGTTAATGTGAAAGCCCCAAAAGATACTTGTGAATTTCGGGTCCTATATCTCAAGTAATTCTTGCCTAGGAAAATGATACAGGGTTTGACTAAAGAAAGATCCCATCAGCTTCTCTTGCATATGAGAAAGCCCCACATTATCCAAAGTTTCCAGGAATTTTATTATTGATTAACTACTACGGTGAAAATTTTGTACTTGAAAGTAATTTTAAAAAATTAGCTATTCCCAGTGGGCCTAGTAAAGAAAAGAAGAATTAAGAGCAGAATCTGTAGCTTGGTTTTTTTCCTTTTTCCTCACTGCAGTTTGTGCAGTGTACTGGGAAGAACTGCAATGAACTTCGGTTTAAATGATGAAAATAATTAAAAGCTGTGCATATTGTATTTTCCTGTCTTATCACACACCATTCTATATCTCAGTATGCCTATCCAAAAGTTTCTTATTATTAATTTGTTTTTTAAACCATTTGAATTCCTTTTATTTTTCTCTTATCATTATATATTGCCCAGTAGCTGTTCCACCACATGAAATCTTTACCAAGAATTACAAACATCCTAGCAAAAATTTTCTTCATATAGAGTAATTGGCCAAGTGAGTCAACTCACTGAATTTTTAAAGCTGCAGTTTTCACCACCTATTACAAATTGTCACCATGGAAGCAAACTGTAGAACCAAATGTTGGTCTTCTTTCTTAATTGGAAATGGGGATAGCCTGGGTGGGCTCACTTGTTCTAGTTAATGATCCCAAACTGTATAATGTCTCAAACGCAGTAGAGGTTTGTTGATTGCTCATCCACTTGTCCAAGGCAGATGTTCCTGGTGAGCGAGTTGCCTTCTGTGCAGAAACATAGCAGCCCCTTTCCATTGTGTGGCTTCATCACGCCCACGGACGTCTTAACTTTTCTCTCTCTTGCTTGTAAAAGGGGAAAGAGAGCAGGAGGCATACTGGTTCTTGAAGAGGTTGGCCTGCAAGGGGCACACGGTCCTGCTGTTCAGGTTCCTTTGGTAGGAGTCCTGCTGCAGGCGGGGCTGAGAAACAGTGTCTGGGTGTTCCCAGCAAGGCCCCGGTACCATGGAGGAGAAGAGGGGCTTGGGCTCACGAGAGGATGTTCGTTTCCCAGCAGGTCATCTTTCCATCCGTTCCCTGGTGAGCCTGCTCGAGTGAGGTTTCTCCTTTGGGTCTTCAGATGCTCTCAGATGCATTCATTTTTATGGAGTCGTGCTGTCTTCATTAATAGTAATTTTAAGTTTAAACATTTCTACATATTTTCTTGAGAGAGCTGGTGATATTTTTAAATTTATTTTTCAGTTACAATTGACAATGTTATAGTAATGTCAAGTGTACAGTGTAGTGATTAGACATTATGTACCCTGCAAAGTGATCACCCCAATAAGTCTCTAGAACCTATCTGGCACCATACATAGTTATTATAATATTATTAAATGTATTTCCTATGCTGTACTTTACACCCCCATGACTATTTTTATAACTGGCAATTTGTACTTAATCCCTTCCACCTTCTATTTTTTTTTAAACTTATATATTGCTATTGTTCTCTTATGTAAGAACCAACATAAAACCTGTCATTCCTAATGAAACGGGAACATTACTTAGAAATTAGTACTCCTACTTCTGATAAAGAAGCAGGATACATATACCATCTGGGATGGTATTTGTATGATATATAGGTACTGGTTTCTCTTTGCTTTGAAAACAAATGGCCATAAACTTCATAGTCTGAAAACGACACAAATGTAGTAAGCTCTGCTTCTGTCCTTACATTTCCTCTGACTCTGACCCTCCTACTTTTCTCTTAGAAGAACCCTTATGGCCCCATTGTGCTCACTGAGATAACCCAGGATAATCCCCCTGCCTCCAGATCCTTAATTTCCATCTTAAAAGTCCTTTTTGCTGTGTGAGGTAGTATATTCATAGAGTAACAAAAATATCCTGATCCAGGGAAGAGGATGTGTGTACATCTTTGGGCGACCAGTGTTAAGTTAAACACACTAGGTAAATAATGTGCAGCCTTCTTGCAGGCAAAAGCAATACACCAATGAAATGAATTTTTGATGCTTTTCAGAAGACAGTTTGTTCAAATTGCTGATTCTAGAAGAAACTGTAGAGATTATCTCATCCAATACTCATACTTTGTAGATGAGGAATGCAGGTCCCTAAAAACATGAGAGACTTGTGCTGGAGGTCATTGAGGTCACCAAGGCAGAGCTTGGAAACCTTGTGGGGAGTTTAAGATAAAGGGAGGGAGGTATCTTGTTCCTCTCTCAGAATTCAATTTGAGGCTTTAAAAACATAATAATACCAGTACTCAAAGAAGACAGCATGTTTCCCAATCTACTTCTGATAGCAAAGAAATGATGTTTCAGCCTATCGTGGACTTAAAATAAAAGAAATGTTGCTTCAGAGTGTTCCGTAGGCTGCTCTTGTTTAAATAGATCATCAAGGAGACAGGCTTCATATTTGAGAGAACATCTTTTATGATGAGTGCTATCAATGTCAAGTACTTTTGTTGCTGGCTAGAAAGGGAGTGGCTAGTAGAAGTACTGCAGATTCTCAAATCTTGTAATTAGCCCTTCGTTCTCTGCCCTTCCATCTCTACCTGTGTTACCCAGCACTGTAGCCACTGGGCCCATGTGGCTGTTGAGTGCTTGGTGCGTGACCAGTCCAGAGTGAAGTGCTCTTTGAGCATGAGATACACAGCAGATTTCAAAGACTTAGTGCAGAAAAAAGAGGTGCAGAATATCTTACTAATTTTTATATTGATTATATGTTGAAATGATAATGTTTTAGATATACTAGGTTAAGTCAAATTTGTTGTTTATTTTGCCTGTTACCTTTTTACTTATTATAATGAAACTACTAGAACATTTTAAATTTTACATGTGACTTTCATTGTGTTTCTGTTTCACAGTACTGCATGAAACTTTTCCCCCAAATTATCGATGGTGTGATTTGATTCTGAACACCCTCTCCCTCATCCCAGTCAGAATGAGTAGTGGTAGCAGAGCTCAAGTTCTTAGACTTGGCTCAATAAAGATTAAATGTCTCATTTAACTTATATTCACAAACCAGTAAACTCATCATGACTTGAGTGATTGTGATACTAGGTTATTTTAATATAGGAAAGCCTTGATAATTCTGAGGGCAGATTATCATTAGTATCTGAGTTAAGTAGTATTTTCAAAGAAATACACTTCTCTTTGCTTCTAGGAATATGTACTAAAACAAGCTAAGCCAAGTGCTGCTTAGTAAAATAGGCCACAGAGAGTAATGGAAAGAGCGTAGCTTTTAGGATCCTAGTAGATTCCACAGTGAATTCAAGTTTTTACTTCAGCTGAACAACTTGAGGCAATATAGCCAACTTCTCTGAAACTCATCTCTAAAGTAAGATTAATAGTAGCTACCTACTAGGCTTTGTCATCAGGATTAGAGGATTAAGTGAACTGATACTGCGAGTGAAGTGTCTGGTTCTGTAAAGTTCGCTGGGGTGAGGATTAACCTGTAGGAAGTTATGAGGGATTAGTCTCCAGATCTTACCTGAGGCAGGTGAGCTGAGGAGGAGAAAGGAAAAGTAGTTGGACTGTGAGGAAGTCTCAGCAAGGACCACAGCCGACCCTCCTGGGGCCCTGAAACCTCGAGGTGGCTCTGCAGGGCTGTCCTGCTGGGGGACGAAGGGGCCAGGCAGCCACTGCCTGGTCATCAGATGCAGGCAATTCCGCCCTAGTAACTGTGAACATCACAAATGGCAAGATATCATCCTGTGTTATGGCTGAGTAATACTCCATTGCATGTATGTACCATGTCTTTATCCATTTCTCTATTGATGGACACTTTGATTGCTTCCATAGCTTGACTATTGTAAGTAATAATTTTAATTGAATATGTAGGTGAGAAGTAAAAGAAGCTTTCATCTGGAGAAGTCCCTTACTTTTTAATTAATTAATTTGAGGTCTATAGAATGTTTTCTCCAGAGACCAGGAAACTGCCACTACTTGCTCCCAAGTTGCCCAGCAGGGGCTGGGGATGGGGTGATAGTGGTGGATGGGTGTTCAGGGCACAGGAACAGGGATGTTTTGTTGATGATCGTGTCCTATTTGGTGGCTTCGGCATAGATAATAATCTTTGTTACTAAAATGAAGCTGCGGCTTCACCCACTGCATTGTTTGTTTCATGAAACTCAGGCAGCAATAGAATCAGGTCCCCAAATCACAGGACTTTCAGAGCTCAGCATCCATACTCCCCACTTCCTACAAATATACCACCTACGCATCAGGTGCTACAGTAAGTGCTTCATCTGTGTTCCCTCTCCACTATCTCCTGTGATGTCACTGATAAGGACCCGGATTCTTGGCTAAACAAAAAAAGGAAACTGACCCTCAGTAACTTATGGGTGAAAGGCATGTATTGGAAGGTTACCAGGGAGCTCACAAAAATGGATGAGGAGGCTGTTGAGAATCGTAGTAGGAAAGCAGGTTCTAACCAAGGGAGGCTCATAGCAGAGGAAAATGCCACGTTGCTTCCATGGGAAAGATGTAGTCATGACCTTGCAGCTGCCACCACTACTACAACAGGGCTGCTCTGTCACTGACCCCGTGTCTTTGTGTCACTCCCTTAGGAGCACGAAGTGGCCAAGCTGAGGGCACATGCCCTTTGCTCGCAGCTTATAGCTGCCCTGTTCATCCCCCAGCCTTTGGCACACAGTGGGGGTTCCCCCTAAAGTAGGACGTCATTGTGAGTAGCCTAAAAATCAATGACCACTAAGTCATGTTTTTCCCCCTTTTTCATTGCAATTTAGAGAATTTAGGTAACTTACCTGGAAGCGATACATCCAATTCAGTGATAAACCAGAATGTGGATGCATGTCTGTTTGGCCCACAGCCATGGCGCTTTCCTGCCACCGTTAGTGCTGTTAACCTGGTAGAAGCCACAGTTCAGGGACCTAGCCACAGTGGAATTTGGATGAGGCACAGCGTGTTACACTGAAATCTGTCGTTTTGTTTTGTTTGAACGTTGCACCTTTCCAGCTGGTTTGGTTCCATAGAAATCCTACAGGTGTTGCTAAGGACTCACTTGGTGGGTAGCCATACTGTAACCAACAGGTTGGGCAAAAGTGCATTTGAAATGGCCCCGTATCCTACAAACTTGGCAAAGTCTGGCTCAGTTTGGGAAGTTGATCATCTGATACCTTGTGATACATATAGTCTAACCTTTTCCTATTTCACAGGGGACTAGACTCCTGAGTTTGCTCCAAACGCTCCACTGGAGGGTGAGCTGGCATCGGCCCAAACTCCCAGCCACACCATCTCCCCCAAAAGTGACCTGAGGCCCGGAGCACAGCTTCGGTGTTATGGGAATTTAAATTGTTCCTAACTCTCTGTATGTCATTCTTTTCTGTTATTCGGATTCTGGGGAGACCTTGCTGACTGCGAATATAAGACAACACCTATGTAGTATGGGCAGTTTGTTGTACTGTCTTTTTGAGAATGCAAGCTAAGGATAAGTTTGGAAACAGAAAATATCCCAAAATTACCAAATTTTCAGCTCCTTGTGTAACCATATAGCTACTGCTATTGTGTTACAATTGCTTAGACTAGTGGTTTTCAGCCAGTGTGCCACAAGAATTTCTAAAGCATTCAATACCCGACCATGAGTGGGACCTCCAAAAATGGAACTTGTTTATTAAAAATTGTGTGTTTATTCTTACATGTTTAAACTTCAGTCACCTTCAAAGTACCCTCCCTCCATGTGCTGCAATGCACCTATTGAGACATTTTTTCCACTGCTCAAAACAGTTTTTGAACTCATCGATTTCGATGTCTTTTTAGTGCTTCTATTTTTTGTTTCACTTCTTCCACATAGGCAAAACATTTCTCTTTACTCTTTTCATCCAGGGAAACAAAAAAAAAAATCATTCAGGGCAAGATCTGGTGAATAAGATGGGGTGTAGGGGTCCTGCCATTTTTGGTCAAAAACTGCCAAGTGCTCAGCATGGTGTGGGCAGCTGCACTCATAAATCATCCATCATGAAATGGGCAAACGTGTTGATAGAGTCTTCAAAAAAAATCATGGAGCCAAACGCAGCCTCTCACAACAGTACCAACTGGTGCACAGATACAGATCTGTTTCTGGAACACTCACCTAGCAGGAGGAGCCTGTGCTACAAGATGCCAGCCCTCCAGAAGGTGATTCTGGGTTTTGGGGGTCCCGCCTTGCATTTAGTCAAAGGCACTGACCTCTTTTCCCTTAGATTGTCAAGTTGAAAATGACAGCAGCCCACACAACAGTAGCTGTTTGGCGTAAATCAGAAGTACACCGCCTCAGCCCCATTGCCTACTTCCCTCAGGGATGCCTTCCTGAACACATCAGACCTGGTGCTTTCTTCATAGCATGGCGGGATTTCCTGTTTCATATGTGCAGTGGATTATTTGATTATTTGCTAAGCAATGATTATTTGATTAATGTCTATCCTAATATAAGTTCAGTGGGAGCAGCAGTCTGTTTGGTGTTGTTTATTCTGTTCCAGATGCTGAACAGAATAAATGAGGGAAATCACAGTGGTGAACAGAATCAGGGGTTGGTCATTTGCACTGTACAGCTTATAGTTATTCTTATGTAGCAGCAGTGGTGGTGCCTTTTTGGTAAGATGACTTGAAATTATTAAGGACTGATGGAAACTGATAAGGAAGGGACCAAAACTACCAAGTGAACTAAGCAAAAAAATTGAAAATGACATTTTGTGGTTTCAGGTGACTTTCGGATAAATGAACGTGGGGCAACAAGATCTGGCGTGCTGTCTGCACAGATCATCTTGTTTTTTCACATTGCACGTAGAGTCATGTATTCTGATCGGCAGTTTCTTACTTAGGTAATAATTTGTCTTTGGTGTGAGCTCCTCGGGGCTGCCATCTCTGACCATTTACGGTGCCCAGTGTGTGTTAAATACTCAGGGAATGTTTGTTGAATTGACACTAAATGTTATAAAGGGATTATTATATGGGCGGGCTTATGCAACAGAATATTTTCTCAGCACTTAACCATTCCATCTGTAATTATCGGTTTACTCACTGGAAGAACAGCTTGGGGGCCTCTGACGTGATGCCATTTCTGTGTTTGCATTTTGTACGTATTTTGGGTGGAAAGAAGAGTACCTTCTTTTGGCACAGAGAGGAGAATTTATGGTATTTCCGGTACACATGGTAGGTTTTTCTGCACCTGCATAAAGCCTAGTAGCTTCAAGATAAGGTTCTGCATTTTTTCCCATGTGATCATTTGGAAAGTGATAGTGTCGGTTATACAGAATTGTCTTATGAACACACACACAGATGCAGCCTCCCCCCTCTATTCTCCGGTGCTTCTACATAGCACAACTTATGTATGACCCTTGTCGAAACGTCTTCCATGACTGGCTTTGGTTTTTGAGGGGAAAATGGTGTTTTTTCAAGTTTGGAACTATTTCACGCTTACAGAGTGTGTTTTTCCCCTTAAGAATGTTATTTAATTTTAAATGTAAGAAGGTTCTATTTAAAGCTCTCTTCCCCATCCTGTTGCTTTGTATGTTTGAGGAACAGATGGAACTTAAGCCTGTGATAATATAGGGAAGACCGAGGGCTGTTAGAGTGAGCTAACGTGTCCTTTGGGTTGAACATGTCACAGGGATTTTGACTTCCAGCTGCCAATTACTGACCAGAGTGATCCTTCATTAAAATTGGGCTTAGTTTACATTCTAGATAATGACTTATGAACCAAGGAGATCCACAGCCCCACTGCTAGACAAAGCCTTTCACTTTGGTATCTAGTTGAGATGGATAAAGATAAGCATTATCAGTCCTTGAGGAAAAGAGTCAGTGGACAAAGGGGCGGGGCTGGGAAATTTGCTCCTGAGACTGCAGTTAAAGGATAAAGAGTCCAGGGAGCAGATCCAGCATCTGTTCTGGTCTGAGTGCTGTTTTGGAAAGGAGTCCTTGAGGGGTGTCCAGTCCCTTTAAGTGGTAGGTTAGTGACACGGGGCGACAGGTGCCAGTTCGGACTCTGAACACAGAGCCCAGCACTGGAGGCAGCAGGAGGCCTCACGTGGCGGCACGGCCAGGGCATCAGGAGGTAGTCCAAGGGCGTGAGCACGGATGAAGCCAGGCAGCCATCACGCGCTGGTTCAAAAGGAGTCCCCCGGATGAGAAAAGTACCAGCCGGCGAGGCCTGGAGGAAGACAAGAAAAGGAAAGCAGGGAGTGAGTTTTTATCTAATTTATCTAGTTTTAACATTTAAAATCATTTGTTGTTTTTATGTCCTCTCAGTGACTACAGTAGACATTGTTCTCTAAAAGGTCAGGCGATCTTGCAGTTGTGTTGCTGTATGAAGGGCAGTGGCGCCCGAAAAACGAAGGATACGTACCTCACTCCTGCTGTCTCAGGGTCAGGAAGCTGTCATGCGGTTTCCTGGACCTGATGCTGGTGCCTAAGCTATTGGTAGAGCCGATTGTTCCAGTCTCCTCTCTGCAGTTACTGTGCGAGTGGCTGGCCTCCGCTTCATTTCTGGAGTCAGTCTCTTCCTACTGAATTTTCCATTTCCAGGTGACCATTCCAAGGCTTATTGCAGTCTGAAAAGATGTGTGGGCATGGATCGTTTGGCCTTCAAGAAGCAAAGAATGTAGGAGAAAAGCAACCTTTATTGGAAATTAGAAAACCTGGACACAAGTCTCAATTCTGGCACTTACTAGTTATAAACTCATGTTTCTGGGTCTCAAGGCATCTTCATCTATAAAACGAAGAGATTGAAGGCAGTTATTTCAAAGGGCCTTTCTAGCTCTACCAATGAGATGAAGTCCAAATGAACAGTCTAGAAAAGAAATCATTCATTAGTGCCTTTATGACATTAGTGTCGGATTCTTGAGACATTGGGCCGTTGACAGCCATTGCCAGAAAGCCTCGGTGAGCACCTGACCTCCGACTTCGAGATCAGCATTCTGTCACTTTCCTTCCCACCACGCCAGTGTGACCTAAAGAATGAGGGAGACCCGTGAGATCCTTTTAAGTTAAGTGAATATTACATCTACCATTCTGTTCTGAAAATAAACTGCAGCTGGTTTCCTCCTCCCCCCACCCTTTCCCCCTTTCTCCTCCCCCAACCCTTCCATGCGTGGTGTTAGTTATACCTCTGGACACTTGGTATTTAGAATTCATTACCACTGTGGCTTCTCTCCAGTCCGCAGAAGCTTTTTCTGCTTAATGCTTCCGTGACATTTTCTCAGAGGAAGGCAGCATCCGCCTCGATGCCATCGATATTCTCCTGTCTTGCCCACTGGGGGTCTGCAAGTCCTCACTTCACTGATATCCTGAAGGCGTTCACTATTATAGTTATGGCAACAGGATGTTCTGTCCTTTCTACCTCCAACCCCCACCTGAATGTGAGTGGCCTAAAGTGAGGGCCCTCATCTTGCGGGGCAGATTCCCAGCTTGTAACAACTCACAGGCACACGCAGGGTATTCAGTTGAGCTGATTTCTCTGAGACTCTGCCTGTTGATAGGTTAGAGAGTTTTCCTATTGATTGGGACACTTTTTAGAAGTCGTTTAGGGCTTATGTACCAAATAGTGTCCTCAGTCAGAGAAAGCATCAGAGGATAATGCCTAACAGGTAATTAATCTGCACAATGAAATTCTCCTACAATTTTTATTAGATGCGGAAGTCACCTTTATTTTCTGAAGTTCTCATGGAAAGTTATTTTTGTACTTTTAAACAGCTGCTGCTCTCCAGGAGGCCTGCCTTCATTTTATAGCCAGCAGGCTTTCTATGCACAGGCTGGCCGACATCGACACTCAGGCCCTCCCAGAGCAGGATGGGGCAGGCCAGGGCCATCCAGGATGTCTTTGAAGGGGTTTTTTCATCTCCAATCTGATTGTGAACCCCATATGTACCTAACACCACAACTGTGGGAGATTTGAAATAAATGGAGGAGGAAGAAAATAAGACTTGCTCTGAGAACAATTGGAAAGCCAAGTGTTATTTAAGATGTGATATATTACAGGTACATTCACTGCACCCTCAGTTGTGGTAACACAAGACTGTAAACTGAGTATCCAGTAGTAAGACTGCTAACATGTTACACTGGTACACTGGAATGCTATGTGCCGCTATTGAGAAGAGTGAAGCAGCTTTATGTGTGCTGATGTAAGGAACAAAGAATATATATCATGCTTTCACTTCAAGCCCATGAGAAGAAGTAGTATACTCACTCACACACACGCACACACACACAGCACATGGCTGGATTATCTCTGGAAGGATAAATGGGAAACTGGCAACAGTGTTTGTTTTTGGGCGAGGGACTGGGAAGCCGGTATGGGAAGAAAAAGTTCACTGTAAAATGTCTGTCTGGGAAAAGGCCAGCCATTGTTGACACGAGAGTGGTTTATGCAACGTTGATGTAACCTGACAGCCAAGGAGACTGGACTGGGGTGTGCATGCATGAACAGTGAGGACTTCACTGTGCTGGTCAGCAGGGGTGGTAGACGCTGTTGAGTAAGCATGTGTGTGGCCGTCACATTGAAAATGACTGAGCGAGGAGAGCAACAAACCTGCCTCAAATTTTGCATTAAGCTCAAACATTCCTCTGTGGAAACTATTTGGATCACTCAGGCTGCAGCTGATGATTGGCATCTTCATCACAACAACATGGCTGCTCATGCATCATGTCTTTTGCATGAGTTTTGCAGAGTTTTTTGGCAAAAGGTCAAATAATCCAGGTGACTCAGCCCCCATACAGCCCAGATTTGGCACCCTGGGACTTCTAGCTTTTCCAAAAACTAAAATCACCCTTGAAAGGGAAGAGATTTCAGACCATTAATGAGATTCAGGAAAATACAAGGGGGCAGCTGGTGGTGATTGAGAGAACTGTGTGAGGTCCCAACGTGCCTATTTTGAAGGGGACTGAGGTGTCGCTGTCCTATGTACAATGTTTCTTGTATCTTCTTGGATAAATGCCTCTATTTTTCATATCACATGGCTGGATGCCTCCTCGGCAGACTTCTTATACCTTCTTGTATGGAAAGAAATTCCTTGTGTATGAACTATTTATTTTTCAGAAAAAAATAGGCTGAATTGTTTTAAAAGAAAGGTTAATGACATGAACTACAATAGAGAAGGGCAGGAAAGAGTACTGTGTGTTTAAGGAATGTGTCCATAGGATAGACAGTCCTCGAGTTCCTGCTCTTCCCCAGGCAGAGCTTTGCTGCTGGGCTGCAGGCTCCGCGATGCAGATGAACTGGGGCAGCAGTGAGTGCTGCGAACACAGGAGGTGGCGGTGACAGTGCAGAGTGACTGGGGTACAGTGTGCAGGCTCTTTTAGAAAGGGTGACTGGAGAAAGTCCCTTGAAAAGGTACCATTTGAGGTAAACTGTGAATGACGAGAGGCCAGCCGCGTGGAGAGTCAGGGCAGAGCCAGAGTCCCAGGTGGGAGGATGGCGGACGGGTGTGAGTCAGGAAGGAGGAGGGCTCCCGTGTGCTGTGTGGGCCGAGTGGAGGCCACAGTCCAGTGAACCAGGTTCTGCCATGTGTGATATGCGCGTTTTTGCCCAAATTTTTGAGGGAAAAATAAGGACACAGATTATACATGGGTAGTACTAATTCCGCATCTATGTAAATGTTTTTAATTCTTTTATTTATGGCTATGCATTAAAAGTTTAACTCTGAAAAGCAAGTAATGATGTCCATATGCACAATAATAACTCTGAATACAATAATTGGTTTTATTTCTAAATATAAATAAATAAGTTAAATTAAAACAAAATAATATTTTTCCTGAAAGTCTGGGTCAGAAACGTGGGTGAGCATCATACTCCGGAGCCCGTCCTACATGGCACAGTATGGTATTAGCCTGGGGCGGAGTGACGGGCCTAACCCGAAGGAAACGGTGTCGTGGACAGCAGTGGAACTGAGTGTGGGTCAGCAGGACGCAGCAGAGCAGCCCAGGGCCCTGCCCTCTTCTTTATGTGCCTCTTGTGGACACGCTCACAGGCGGTCTAGACATCATCTGTTTGTTCCGAGGCCCCTAGAGGCCCTGCAGCTGTTCTGTTCACTCTGTCCAGGTACAGATCGGATCGGAACAGGGTCTGCCAGGGAGGGGCAGGGGGAGGCTTTTCTCTCCCCGACTTGCCGAAAGGTTCGTTCCTGGTGTCCAAAGGCACCGGTAATGTGAACGGCATAGAGTGTGGGAGGCAGGGTGGCCTGTGGTGTGGCTGACAGCAAGGACCTGACGGTGGGGTCTGTCCCAGCCGCTCAACGGACTTGTCCATAAAGAGGGGGTGGTAACATCACCTCGCACACCTCACAAAACTGTCGTGTTATCAGACATGCTACCTCCGGAAAGTGGAGGGCTAAGTAGATGGAAATTTTATTATTAGTAATGACACCGCAGGAACGATGATGCCAGTTGGGCAGTCTTTGCGTGAAGGTAGCATACAGTAAGTCCTCCCTGAATGTCGTGAAGTCTCTGCCATTTGAGGCAAAATGATGTGTAATGAAATCAGTTTTACCACAGGTTAATTCATAGAAACAAGAGTTAAAGTCCTCCGGCACCTCATTAACATTATAATGAAGTGATGTTATCTGAGGACCTGCTGTATTCAGGCAAAGACAGCATATTTCTGCTACACTCCTCAGAAATCAAGCGGTATATCAGCTTCCATCCCTGTGCACATGGTTTTCTTCTTCTGAGTGGGAAAAGGAAGCTAAGTTCATCAGGAGGCAGTCTAACTCCTCACTATGGTGACTGACAAATAACCAAAAGACGTGTTTCTTCTAAACCAGTGCTCTGTATTTATAACCGCACGGAGGCAGGGTCTCTCGTGTCTTTTACATAATCCTGTCTAAATTTTCATCTCGGCTCAGCTGTTAGTTCCCTCATGGGTTTTACTTCAGGCTTACTTGTGTTAAATGGAGATATTTGCCTACAGAATCATCATATGCTTAAGATAGAATTATGCATATTCTAAATGATCACTTTTACCATAATGTTATAGTTCCACCACTTTTTATGACTTTGTTACATGCTTTGTAAAGTATAAAGTCACTGCAGAAATTCTTCTAAGTTTACCGTAAAGGACAGGTATTCACTTCCTTCAAATGACCTGTCAAGAGAGGCAGGGTGACCTCAAAATAGCTAAAATAATGTCATAGACTTTAAGCTCAGTGCATTCTTAAAGAAGCAGAGATTCCCCAAGATCTTCCAAAACCTTTTATCTGTTATTTTAGACAAAATTCTACCAAAATTAGTTAATGTCTTTGTTCTGCTTATAGCAAAGTTGAAGCAGCGGGTACTAGAAAGAGATGGAGAGTGAAGCAGGCAGAGGAGGGTGGGAGGAAGCCCCCGCCGTGAGGGTGAAACTTCACGGTGCCCGGGGCTCACTGACAGTGAGTGGGGAGCCAGCCGGGGTGCCCCGCTCCCCAGAGAGTGCCGAGCACCCTGCCAGACACTGTACAAAACTTGTAATCCTGAGTCATCAAAGAAAAGTTCCTGTTTGAGGAGTGGGACAGGCCTGGTCTTTCCAGATTAGCATTTGAAAACTGCTTTGAAATGTTGTAATTTATGAAGTCGCTAAAACCTCCTTTGCCTGGAGGTTTATCTGGCTGACCCCGTCCACCCTTGGGACGTTAGGTGAGTGAGGCATTGCAATGCTGAGTCCTGCGCCCAAGCAAACTGCCTGTGTCAGGAACAGAATTATCTGGGCTTCTCATGATCCCCACTTTGTAATTCTTTCTCAGAAGACTGTGTGTGTTCTTCTACACTGACAGCATTAACAGCGCTTGGAAAAGCTTCTTGCTCCTTATTGATCACCACTGGTTTTATAGTTCTCACTCTAAACCATATTTAAAGTTAACACGTGCTAAGCAACCAATTTTCTCTTTCACTTTTCAGTGTGTCACGGAGGTAGCATAGCATTTTTATTCTTGATTTCTCATACAAACTGACATAATTCCTGTTTAAACATCTGACTATAGTAGCCGAAAGCAGTATGAAACATTTAATTCTTCAGAAAGCAATACAATTGGAATTACTGTTAAACAATGTACAGCCGAGAACAGGAAAGAAAGGAAAATAAATGATCATTGAGATAGATGCCTTTGTGGCTACCACCGGTACTAGCCTGCAACTGGCTGAGCCTTTTGAGGTCCCTGGGTAATTTCCCTTTTGGAAATTTATCATTGATCCCAGCACACATGGTGCCTAACAGATTACTTGAGACTTTTATTTGTGGTATCTCGATTTTGTTGTTGACGTTAATGAGCTTACAGCACAGTATCACCAGAGAAATAGTGTTGCTATTTGGAATGTTAATGAATTGCTCGCCTGGCCAATTGCCATTTGTTCCAGTGTGCGAATGTGGTGTGTGTGTGTGTGTGTGTGTGTGTGTGTGTGTGTGAGAGAGAGAGAGAGAGAGAGAGAGAGAAGGAGAACCGAGTAGCAGGGGTGGGATTGCATTTTTTTTTTCCTCCTCGCAGCCAGTGACGTGAGCCGTGCCTGGAACAATCAGACTGGCTGCAAACAGGGGAGTTGAAGATGCTGGGGGAGGCAGCCTGGTGTTCTGTAAGCTAGCGCGGATCACAGCGCTCCGAGCTGCTCAGGCAGAACCGACAGAGCTCCTCCAGCATTAGAGCCTCGCAGCATTTGGAAAGTGCCTTTTGATTTCTCCAAACCCCTTCCCCAGTCAACCTTCAAAATGATTGGTGTGAATAGCGTTCAGAGTGCCAGCAAGGTGCGGGTGAGGACCTCGGGTTCCGTGAAGTACTCCCGGGAGGATTCTATCCGGCGGCAGTCCCACCGGTCAAAGTCTATGAAAATTTCCAACTCCTCAGAGTTTTCTGCTAAGGAGACCAAGGTAAAGAAATACCGCCTTAAACCAGCTTGACAATTGTATGTTAGGATAATGAAATCCGGTAGAGTCTTTGGCAGTGTCTAATGTTCAATGACGGACTGAGAAAGTAAGGTGTATAAAATGGCTCTAAGAGAAGCAGGTGAGATTAGGTGAGAGGGATGCTATCTGAACTCCAGGTAAGAAGGGTGCTTTGGCCCGGGTCAGTTTCATGAAGAGCCAGTTTGTGGAAGAGAAGGGCTAAGCAATGCTCAGCGTGAGATGACTGTGGGAAAGTGGTGGTTGGCACATTGATCTCGCTTTCAGTCTCAGAAGGGTTGCCTTGACAGATGATTTGTCAGTGCAGTGTATTTTTAGAACGGGAATACAGAGACATCGTCTGTGATTTTGTCGTTCAGTTAGTTCCTCTTGCTTTCTCTCCTGCTCTCCTCCCAGTGTGTAGAGCTGATACACAGTAGTGACCGGGTCCTATTTTACTACATTCTTGTCCTGTTCAGAGCCCTCAAACTCAGGTATATGCAGTTGGGAAGAATTTCTTCTTTCATGTTCCTTACGTGTGTTTCTTATGTGTTGCCGTTAATTATTTTTTGGAGGCTGTCTGTAGGATAATATCATCTCTGTTCATGTGAAGTGCGAAGGGGGTGATTACGTAGTGAAATGGGCATTTACTACATGTAACATATTCTTGAGATGCTTCCCACCACCATCTGTGTGAGCAGGGGACTCAGAAACACTCCCACTCCACAGGTTTAAAAATGGAATCACGGAATCATAGCATCGCAGAACTCTGTGGCTGGGGATGTAGATGATTATGATGGCAATTCAGAGGTTTGATAATGCACAAAAAAGGCCTCAGGAGGGGGGGTCTTCATGTGGGTTATATATCCAGATCCACTGAAAGTGACTTAGGCTTTTAACCCTCCCAGTCCCCTTCTATGACATTTACATTATTAAAAGACTTTGCCAATAATAGGCTTCCCTCAAAACATGGCGGGGGTGGGGGAGAAGGGGGCAAAATACCTCGGTGTGACTTGAAGAAACATGTTGGCTTCCTATCCACCCCCTTAGATTCCGACACAGTGGGATCCAACCCCATCAATCATGAGCACATTTTCTAGCTGGAATCCCTTCAGCTGTAGCTCCTTGGTATTTTTTGAAAGCTGTACCTTCAGGGAAAACATGTCTTTACAGTTCTGTGAATGTGACCTGCCTGGGGATGTACCGGTTCCTCCTGAAACTGTGATGAGACGTCCTGCGGTGTGGCAGCTGTTGTCTCCTGCCGAAGTGGGGACGTGGATGGCTCAGTACATCGTTAAATAACCAAGTGCAGGGAGACAGTGATTCCCAACATGTCTCCAGAATGGGCTTCTGCGAAGAGTGCTAAGAAGCATTTAGGTTTTGTTGTAGTCAGGACGATGCCCACAGTATGCAGTCAGAGGCTTTGGGAAATTGACAGACCATTCTCAACTATCACCAATCACTAGGGTAATTTAAGCTTGTAATATCAGTTTATTCACCCAGAATTATGGTGGTTTGTGTGCTTTAATCTAGCATAAAGAATGCTAGAATAAAAGCATTAATGTTGGAATCTAGCATAAAAGCAAAATGAAGATTCCCTACTATCTTCTCTGTTACACAGAACAGGTTCTCTTTTCTGATGCGTGTCTATGCAAGAGAAAGCCAAACCTCTGGGGGCATATTGCAAACATTGTAAGGTGCCAACAGTGTAAAAGACTGTTGGTAAACAGTCCTTTGGTAAAACTGTAGCTAATAAGTCATCACACAGTACTTTAGAAATTATAGTCCATGTTTTTAATTATATTTTTCAGGCATATGTGGTCTCTGAGTTCTGGAATGTATATTGAAGAATGTATATCAAAGTTCCCAATATCTCACAAGACATATTTTTATAGGATTATGTAGTCTTTTAAAATTGAACACCGGAGGTAGCCAATAGAATATTATTAAATTATGCTATTATTATTAATTTTTGGACATTTATAGGATATCAGATAAATTGAACTAGCCATT